TCGGACTGTTCATTCTGTGCTCACTTAGAAATAGCACTGGTAAAAACTTCATATAAGCTGTGGATTTGAGATCTAGGGTGGTGGGGTTGTCAGGGAACAAAAGCAGTGCGCTTTATTCCAGATTTCTTTGAGTTATGCTGCATCTGGTCCTTTCTGTGCTCATTTCCTTCCTGTTTAAAATGGGAAATGACTATTAGCCTGGGTTATTATGATAGGGAGAGATACTGCAAAAGGTACTGGAGTGCAGCCCCGGGAGTCCAGAATTCTGCCCAGCTCTGCCACTAATGAGCTGTCTCTCTGGGCAAGTCACATGGACTCTCTGAGCCTCAGTTTACTCCTCTGTAAAGTGGACTTGTTGTGCTAGCTGATCTCTAAGGTCCTTCTACAAAAGTCGAAATGTCTTTAAGTCCTTGTAATTCCATATTCCTTTCCCCACCCTTATCCTACACTCTTCATTTCCCCAAACTGAGAGGTAACCTCTAGCTTCAAGGAGATATGTTATATACAGTGTCAAAACAGAAGCAATTAGTCTAAAGACCAGGGAACTTTACCCATTGAATAACATATGCCTTATTTTACTCGTCAAAATGAGCAGAGAATCTGGAATCATTTTCATTCCCATCATGGTACCATTTCATAGCTGCAGCAATGCATTTGTGGTCCTTTCCTCTAAGGAATTTCCTTCAAGATAGACTTCCTAGGGTGGGTTAAGGGGCAGGAAGAGACCTCAGTTACCCATCCCCCAACGCTTGCCTTCTCTATATTCTTCTGGCTGAAGTATCTTAGATACTTGATGCCAAAACATCTGTATGATAGAGTGTTATGAGCATTGAACTAGGGGTCATATGATCTGATTCTGGTTTTGGATCTTCTACTAATGAGATGCATGACCTTGGTTTTAAGTCACTTCTCTTCTGTGGCTTCAGTTTCCACATTTATGAAATAAGAAGTTTGGACTGGATGGTGTCTAAGGTCTCTTTCACCTGTAAACTTCTAGCTCTGAGTTGGGGAAAGAGACAGAAATGGTGGCAGTTTGGGGGCAATGTCTTTGGATTTGGGGTCACAGTCTCACCACGCAAGGATTCCTCTCCAGATATTCCATCACTTAAACAGGCTTGGCCAGCTGGGCCAGGACAGGACGGAGACAGAGTCCCACCACAGTACAGCATCGTGGGAGTGTCTCCTGTGTCTGGTGGTAGGTCTTGGCCTTGGTGAGTATGTGAAGCATCAGTTAAATGGAGGATGGGAAGGGACGTCAAGAAGTGTGAAATGTATTTCCTGCTCTTAAGGGGTTCACAATTGAATTGGGAAACACAAGGACAGCATTCCGAGGCCGGGAGTCCACAAGGTGTAAATACCATCTTAAACATCTGTTGATTTCATCAAGCTATGGAAGCTTATTCTGAGCTCGTGATTCAGGGCATATATCCGTGGGTGGATAGCCCCGTCCAGAAGGAGATGGAGGAATGTTCTATAGGTCTTGGCAGCTCCATCTCTTCTGGAGTCACCATTTTTTCTCCAGAAGAGTCTGATAGTCTCTTTTTAACATATCACTTGATTTTCGTCATTTGATGACACACATTCAGCTCTGTCTCCACAAAATGCATACAGCTGGAAGGATAGGTAGGCTATGTATAAGCATAAAAGAGAGGAGGAGGATGGCCGTGTGGAGAAGAATATTAACCAAAGTCTTGGGATAAGAAAACACAAGATGTATTCAGGAGACAACTAGTAGACCAGTTCAGCCATTATGGCTTTTGAAAAGGGAAAAAGAAAAAAAAAAAATCAACTCTGAAAACACAATTTGAAGTCAGATTATAAGTGGCTCAATGTAGTCAAAAGAGAGACCAAGAATGAATCTAGCTCTACCGTTTACTATCTGCGTGCCTTTGAGCAACTTGTTTAATCAATCTGAGTTTGTATGTCCACATGGTAAAATGCCAGTGATAATACCAATTTCACAGGATTTGGGGAGGATTAATAGAAACAATGTATGAAAATCTCCTGGTGCAGTAAAAATGATCAATAAATATTAATTTTCTAAATCTCAGTCTCCTTCTACCTCCACGGTGGCTTCTTGTCTTATAGGCAATGAAACAGCAGCTGGCAGACAGACCTGGCTTTGATCTAGGCTTGGTCAGTTACAGCATCTTGGATCTTAGTCAAATCACTTAACCTCCCTGAGCTTCAGTTTACTTAGCTACAAAATGAAATTAACCTGTACTTACCTTGCAAGGTTATTATAAAGTTTAGAAATGTATTATGTGAAGCTCCCAACGGTACCTGTTAAGGGGGGGAGAGGCAGTAGGTTTCAATAAATAACGGTGATGGAGGAAAGGAGGAAAAATAGTTGTTGTTATTACGAAACTGGAATTCTCGACCAAGAAGCCTAGGATTTGTCTTGTAGGCCGCGGGGGGACTTTGGAGGTGTTTTTTCAGATAGGGTATCATAAAATGAAATGGAGAGAATCTTAACGTTGATGAGAATAGTACAAGAGTGGCAAGAATGTGCAGAGGGCAAGGGAGAATGCCCTGGAGATAGCAAGACTGACTTACTGAAGGTAGAATCCAGCCCTATTCATCTATGCGCTGTATAATTCTTTTATTATCAAGTGGATTCTTTCTTCTGAAATTCAACAATTCTGAATATATGAGAGAGACGAGACAGAAATGGAGAGTGAGAAAGGGACAGAAAGAAGAAAGAGACCCCGAGAAAGAGAGAGAAGCAAAGAGAGAGGTAGAAAGATACACAGATACAGAGAGACAGGAGAGGGGATGCTGTGTTCTAGGGCTTCCTGGCTTTTTGTCTGGACACATCTGGCACACAGCTGTGCTGGCTGGATGCTGGTGGCTTAAGAGAACTTGTGTCCAGGTATAAATCTGGCATCGACAGGCTTGAATTTTTAGCTGACATGTGGGCTATTTTAGATAAAACTGTGGGGAATTGGTATGGAAGTGGGGAGAATGCCACCTCCTCCGTCTTATCCCCCCTCCACCAACATGTGCCTGAACACCAGAGAATGGCTCCTTCCCTCTGCCTGCCAATCACCTGCTCCATGTTTCTCTCTTCCTGGTCCAGGAGGAGGTTTCTAGCCAGCAGCGTGCCCACTGAGGAGGCTTCTGCCACTCCCCGTGTGTTGTTTCCTTCAGCTCTGTTTTCAGTCTGCTTGCTATTTTGCTTGGAACAGGGGGAGTTTTCTTTTGTGAGAAAGGTGTTTGGCTTAGCTTATTCTGAAAGCAGAACGTCTTTAAGTTCAATTTATGTTTTTAATGTCATTTTTCTTTCTTTTTTTTTTTAACTAGTCATCCAAACGCTGGAGGTCTAATAACTAATGGGCATCAGCAACCTTCAAAATCAGTTTCTGTTGCCAGAGTTGTTACTATCCTAAAGGCTGGTGCCTGGTGTGCCCTGTTTAGAGAAGGCAGCTGGTACCTGTGCCATCCAATCCCGCTGGGAGGAAAACGGGGCACTATGGAGCAGCACTTTAGAAGACTCCCATACCATGGAGGAGTGCTTCTTGTGTGGAACCTAGGTCCCATTGTTGAGGACCAGTAGATTTTGTGAATGACAACTGAATAAGAATGCTAATCTGACCGTCCCCCAAAGGACTGTGCCTTGTATTGTCCGCTATGAGTTTTTTCTCAGCCCTTCTTCCAGCTCTGAAAGATCCTATTGTCCTGCTAAAACAGATGGAAATGGTTGGCCCGCAAGATACCATATAGGGTCCCTTTTCTCTGAGTGTGGAAGTGTTTCCTGTCTTAAGTCTCTTTCTTGTTTTAAAGAACTCTTTTTTTTTTTGAGGATGGTTAGCCCTGAGCTAAAATCCGATGCCAATTCTCCTCCTTTTGTTTTGCTAAGAAAGACTGGCCCTGGGCTAACATCCATGCCCATCTTCTTCTACTTGATATGGGACGCCGCCACAGCATGGCTTGACAAGCAGTGCATCAGTGTGCGCCCCGGATCTGAACCCACAAACCCCGGGCCGCCGAAGCGGAGTGTGCGCACTTAACTGCTACACCACTGGGCTGGCCCCTAAAGCACTTTGAATGAAGTATTTCATACATCAAAAATATACATATAACATATAAAATACGAACACTCATATGTACCCAGCAGCTATCTCAAGAAGTACAATATCACAGAGGACTCTCAAAGGTCCCTGTGTGTCACACCTTATTCACATCCGTCATCTAACCTCCCCAAGGTACTTTTGTCATGGTCTTACTTTTCTTAAGAGTTTAAACTACACATATATGTATCCCTAAATATTATATCGTTTTCCTTGCTGTTGACTTTTATATAAATGACATCACACTGAATGTGTTCCTTTACAACTTGCATTTTTTGCATGAAATCCTGTGAGATGAAACCATGTTGATGCATTAAATGCTCATTCATTCATTTCCCCTGCTATATAGTACTCCATTCCATAGATATGCTATAATTCACTTATCCATTTTCTGTTGATAGATATTTGGGGTTTTACTTGCTATTATAAATAGCAAATTTGGGGTGATTTTTACTCTTACAAATTCTGATGCCGTGAACATGTTTTCCACATCTCCTGGTACCCCTGTGGAAGAGTTGTTCCAGATTTTGTAAGTCAGGGTGAGATTGCTGGGTCAAAAGCTATGAACATTTTCTACTTTTTAAATATTTCCAAGAGTTTTGCAAAGTGTTTGCATTCATCTAACATCAGTGTATAAGAGTCCCCCTGGATCCCATCCTTGGTAATATTTTTTATTGCCCAACTTATATTTTTGCCAGTCTTGTCAGTATAAAATGGCGGCTCTTTCTGGTTTAAATTGGCATTTTCTTGATTACTTATGAGATGAAACATTCTTCATATTTTGCATCATTGACTTCTACTTCAGTGTTGAATTCCTTTTGTGTTTCCAACACATCCCGATCCTTTTGGCGCAGCTCTGTATGTGGCTGGATTAGGATAGAAAGGGGGTGAAGGCACGTTGACGGCAGTGTACTGCTTTTCTCTGTGAAGGCCCCGAGGAAGTAGGAAGTGGCCGCTACGGACCCCATTATATAACCGACATGGGAGCCGGCGAGGATGATGACGGATTTGAAGACGACTTAGATTTGGATATCTCCTTTGAGGAGGTAACAAAAATCTCTGCTCTTAAAACCCAGATGTTTTCGTTTTCTTGCTGAACAAGGCAATTTAGCCAACGGACCGTGAACATTTTACTTAAAACTTACTTAAATTGGCCCATTTGCTTTTAACACTCATTTATTTCCTCTGACTATTAGGCTCCAGGTGATCATAAACTAGTGGTAACTAAGTACCAATCATGCGATGTTCTGTAGTCAGCCCTGCCTGCCGACTTCACCATCTGGCAAAAATATTTTTCCATTTCCCACCAAGTGAAATTTTATAAAGTCAGGTATTATAAGGAAATGAACAATTCCTTGACAAAGTAATGCATCTTTGTGATATTGTAATAATAATAAATCATGTTATATCAGTTTTCCCACTGATTTTATGAGTAATACAGGGCAAGGTACTTAAAATCCTTGACCTCAAGTTCTTTATCCATAAACTGGGATGAGTACTATCTCCCTCATTTACATCCCAGGGTTTGGGGAAGTATCAAAAGTGACCATATTTTCAAGTATTAGGCATTAACCATAAATAAGGCAGTCTAATTACTGTGTTCTGTGTTAATCCTGAACCCTTTCCCTTCTCTGCCTTTAGGTTAAACCACTTCCTGCTATCAAAGGAGGGAATAAGAAATTTTTGGTGGAATCCAAGATGGCTCCTAGACCAAACTCAATGACCAGTTCTAGGCTTGTCCCCCCTACCCCAGCATCTCTCCCTACGACTACAGTGGCTCCCCAACCCACTCCAGTGGAGAGAAAGGGGAAGGATGGCATGGCTGTGATGCCGAGGCTCTTTGAGCTGTCTTGTGATGAAACTCTCTGCTCTGCTGACAGCTTTTGTGTCAATGACTACACCTGGGGGGGTTCGCGATGCCACTGCATCCTGGGCAAAGGTGGTGAGAGCTGCTCAGAAGGTAGGCCCTTGGTGGGGGGAGAACATCCTGGTGGGTTGGCCCCACTGGGAGCCAGAGGGCAGTTTGGGGTTCTACGGGTGGTTCCTTCTGGCTCTTTTTCTAAGACAAGCCCCTTCTTCCACGTATTAGTCATTAAATTAGCTATACAGAGCATGTGAGGCAACTTCCATTGCTTCTAGTTAGGTAGCAGCTCTATTTCTATGTGGGCCGAATGTGTAGTACTTTGGGAGCAATTAAAAAATCATCCTGATGGCACCCTGGGGAGGTGGGCTTTACTTTTATCACATGTCTATTGAAAAAATGCAGCCCAAGCGTGTGCATGAATGTTAAGGAAGATAATAATTGAGCCAACATATATGACACAGATGTACAGCTGGAAAGCAGGTGTCAGTGGTCTTAAAGTCATTGCTTTCTGTTTAGGGTAGCAAGTAATAATCTCCAAAGATCCAGTTTCCTCTAAGAATTTCAGAAGCTCGAGGTCCCCAAGAATGAGAATTGTAGGTGTAAAAAGTAGAGAAAGGAAGATAGTAAGCTAGGTCTAACAAATCAAATATTTTCACTTAAGGACATCCAGGCAGCAGTATATATTGATCTTTGCATTTGAAGAAGTGAGGAAACAGCGTTCTTTTGTGTTGTCTTTTTCTCTTTTCAGATATTGTTATACAGTATCCTCAGTTTTTTGGCCACTCCTTTGTAACCTTTGAACCTCTGAAGAACTCCTATCAGGCATTTCAAATTACTCTTGAATTTAGGGTAAGAAGCATTGCTTGTTTGATGACTGCCTACTAGACCTCTTAACGCAGCAATGTGCTACGTCGAAAAGGAGGGAGAGGGGGGAGGGGGAGCAGGGACGTAAATATCAAAGGTAAATATGACACAGAGCCTGTCCCCAAACCCATGCACAGGGCAGCAAGAATGATGGGCACATTCACACACTCAGGGGCACCAGCAAGGGAAGGGTGGGTTCTGTATGTTGCTGAACTATGGAAGTGGCAGGCCTGTGGTTCCCAGTGACAATGTTTGGGTCTCAGTCATGTTGCCATAATCGTGACTCTTTCCGGGCTAGGATTTCAGAAGGCATAACGCATTCTCCATTCCAAAATCCCTTTTAAGAGAAGCCCAAGTGTCTGCCTCCATTGCTATGGCTATAATTGAACAAAGAGAAAACCTGCTATACACTACCCTGGCTTATAGTGAGAGCCCAATGGATGCTCTCTGATCTGAATCGACTGCAGATCAGAATCCCATCAGCGACTTCAGCTTAAAGTGATTCTTTTGAGTATCTCAGACAACATGAAAGGGTTTAGAGACCTGGAAACAAGTCCCCTTTGAGGTCATGGTCACAGTTTTGAATAACCAAAAGATGATCTGTCCCAGTCTAGGACAGCCAACACGGGTGAAAAGCAAACTAGTCTATCAGCTGGGCTGTTTTTACTGTCCTGTTGTCCTGATAGAAGGAAATAAGCAAATTTGCATGCTTCCCCAGAGGGAGGGAAGTAAAAAAAAAGAAAAGAAAAAAGTGGAATGCCCTTTGGTGAGAATACAGTTTGATGAACACGAGAACAGCCTCTCTGTGACCACAGTCTTTGTGCACATGGTTTTCCTGAGGTTCTGCTGGTGGATCCACAAAGGCAGGTAAAGAGCGGGTCGAATACGGGGCCTCCTACCTCACTGCCGTTCCTCACATACTGTTTATAGGGCCACCATTTGTTTATTGGAAATGAACTGGGACTAGGTACCTGGGAGTTAATCAGAGTCCGTGTGCTTGTCTCTTTGGGAATAGGACCACAGAGGAGAATGCTCGTTTCATATTCATGAGTGTTTCCAGGTGGCGCTTTATAGCAGAGGTGGCGCTCACTGTTCACGTGGCTTTTGTTTGTATACTGACAGGCAGAGGCGGAGGACGGCTTACTGCTCTACTGCGGGGAGAATGAACACGGGAGGGGTGACTTCATGTCCCTGGCGATCATCCGACGCTCACTCCAATTCAGGTAACTCCTGCCTAAATGCCACAGATTTTTTACTACTCTCCTACATTATATTTACATTTTTATAATGTGAATAAAATACATACAAGATGGATTCCTGTAGATAAAAGAACAGTGTGTAGTATAAGGTGAGCATGGACCAGTTTACTAAATACCAGAGTATCAGGATTGCAGGGTAACCTTTGAAACTTGAGTTTTGGAACCTTCCTTGTAACTGTTCATTCTTTCAACAGCAAATGTTTCTTGAGTGCCCACAGTGTACCAGGCACTGCTGTAGATCCTGAGAAGGCAATAGTAAGCCAAAGCGATCAAGTCTCTTCTCTCCTAGAGCTCTAGTGGACGGGATGGGAAGAAGGCTGGGATCTGTCCTGGCCCCCTTGTGGTAAAGACGGCTGACAGCCATGGAGAGCAGAGAGAAGTCTACAACCTCCCAAGGGTTTCTAGAGGCTTAAACTCCATCCTTGTCTTCCCTCAGGGCTGTGGTGACCTGTTTGGCTTACCTCCTCTGCCCTGGTCATTTCTCTCTCAACACACTTTGGAAGCCACCTTTATTTTCTCGGGTTTTCTGGGAGGCAGAGTTGTGTGGAGGTGTGAGTGTTTTAATCACCCTTATGGAGGTGTACACAACACCTATTTGAGAATGACCAGTGGGGATCGGCCTTGTCCTTCTCCAAGTGCACCAGTTAAGATCCTGATGGCACCATTCGCCTGCTGCCTGACCTTCCGCAAATGACTTAACCTCTCTAAGCCTGCGTTTCCTCCCAGGGCTATTGTGAGGATTAAATAAATTAATACATGAAAGTGCTTAGAGCATGTCTGACCCATAGCAAGCACACTATAGGCATCAACCATTATTGTCTTTTAATTATTTCAGCACAAAAATTACTTTTGGTTCAGCTGGAGAAGACTGTTGAGCATCCCACTTGGAGCAGAAAATGGGCCCCCATCCTTTGCTACATGCTTTGATTCAGGGAAGTTTGAGGTTAGCCACCAGGATCTGGAGCAGTGGTTCTAAGCTTGTGGGATCTGATAGACTCCCAGTAGCACTGGCAATTATCATCTGGTACAGTTCTCCAACCCAACAACTCCTCCTGAGTGCCTCTGATATCCCCCTCTAGGTAAGCCTGGCCTGCAATGCCTCTCGACCCCACTGCACTCCACTGAGGGTCATGAGACAAAGGGAGGCCGTGAGAAGTGGGCTGTAATTAGTGCAGCTCCTGATAAGGACGATGGTGGCCTTCCCCACAGGCAGTCTCACGACCCACGGGGAAGTGGCATGGTGGCTGTTTGGAATTTGACCAGAAAGGGTCAAAATTCTATATGCCAGGCATAGTGACCAATGGGGCACCCTGAGCCATAGGGAGGTTGGGGGTGAAAAAAAACAATAATGCAACCGTCTGAGAATGCTCCCCCTCCGCCCACACCTCACTCCTGAACTGGAGCCTCCTATGGAAACTGCACCTGCCTTTGGGCACAGCTGAGCACAGATGGCAGTGCTGGCCAGCTTGCCAAAAGGAGTGTGAAGACTGGGGTTTTGTTACATTTTATTAATATTGCTGAGCCTGTCATTTGGGAGTTGGAGGAAGTCCCCAGAGAAATCTCTAGAAACAGAATGACTCAAGTTCTAATTCACTGCACCTTGAATCCACTTTAAGCATCTGGTGATCTCTGAAAAGGAGAGGGAGGATCTTAGATGCCTGTCATTTTCTAAGCTGCAGAGACCCTCAGTTTAAAGAAGGCCCCACATTTAAAGGTTCTATGGGCAGAGTGAGGATAACTAGACCGAGATCTTCCCTGGGAGGAAGCATCTAGTTTTTCCGCGTATAGATTTAAACAGCTCTTGATATTCATAAGCATACCTCTGAACAGACTGACTCTCAGAGAAGCCGTCGCCCTGGAAGTGATGTCCATGGAGTCTGAAAACGTAATGAGCTGGTTGATCAAAGAATCCTCCTCTCCTTTTCCTCCCCCACAGGTTCAATTGTGGAACTGGGGTCGCCATCATCATAAGTGAGACCAAAATCAAACTAGGGGGTTGGCACACGGTTACGCTCTACCGAGATGGGCTGAACGGGCTGCTGCAGCTGAACAATGGCACCCCGGTGACAGGCCAGTCCCAGGTGAGTGCGAGCCTTGCTCCCTGCCCGCTGCCTAGCACCCACCAGAAACATCCCGACGGGGCCCCCTGCAGAGAACTGAAGCTACCTTGGCAGGATCCCAGCTCTGGACGGGCCGTTTTTCATGGTGAATCCGTGCTCCTGAGCTCTAGTGTGCTCCTGCTGTTCCACTCTAGGTGGGCTTTCAGGCACACCTCCGTCCCATAGCTACCGAGGAGAAGAAGTGGATTTGTCAGCACCATTGCTGTGGGTGCACAGGGACATGCAGTAGGCCTTGTGCCCAGGGACGTGATCTCTTTCCACAAGCACATCAAAGCCAGGGGTAGAGGAAGGCCCGTGTTGGAAGAATAAAAGCCATTATTAGTGCCAAACACAAAGCTGGCTTTTAAGGCAGGGGTGTTGCAATCCTGTGGCTTTAGAAAATAGTCCCCAAAGCTTCCCTTGGTTCAATATGCAAGAACCATCCATTCGTCTACCTTTTTGGGGGGCCATGATTATAGGAATGGTAAAACAATGTAACTGTTGGACTACTCAGCACATCACCTAGGTATTCACATATTTATCATGCTCTGGGCAATTTTAGGACTGTGTTTGGAATAAACAGTTTGGATTAGCAACCTGCCAAGGAACCAAGCCTGTAATTATATTAGACAGGTGTCCGTATTCTCTGAGGAAAAATGTAGCAAGAAAGCCTTTGTGTATCTGTATATAGCTTCCTCCCTGCCTGGGCTCTTTACTATTCTTTGCTGGCAAGACATCTTATATAAAAGGTCACGCCTTGCTGATCCCCGTTAATTTGGACCCCAATGGTTCCAAATGAGCAAGGATCCAAATATAGTGAATGTGAATCCGGGGAGATCATTTCTAAGATATGCATTTCTAACATACGCATACATTTCTAAGAAAGGAAAAGACAGCATAAATGAACTACAGAGTCACATAAATGCCAGAACAATAGGCCTAATATGATTAAAATTAAGTTTGATAGGAATAAAGAAGCATTGAACTTGGGTCCAAAATACTAACATGAAGAGAGGATGGAGAAGCTGTAATAGAAGCAACGCATGTGAAAATGTCTTATGATTTAAAGCAAGGAAGTTCAATAAAAGTTAATAAACAAGGCCATGTGGTAACAACAAGCTAAAGAAATTATAGGTTGCATTAATAGAGGCGTAGCATCTAGGAAAAGGGAGGTGACAACCCTATTCTATTCTGGTGACTATGTGTGTAGCTTCCAGTGCTCTAAAGGTGACTGATCCTCTAAAATGATTGCATTCAGATCTGTGATCACACTCTGAGGGCCACAGAAAAACTAGAGCATGTTCAAAGTATAGTCACTGGGACAGGAAGATGACTTGAAATCCCTGGAATGATTGATTGAACTGGCATTCTTGAGTTTGGAGAAAAGAGGATGAAGGTGTGGATGGTGGCTTTTCATCATAGAGTCAAAGGGAGAGTCTTGAGCAAGAAGGACTTACTCTGTGGACCCCTAAGGCTGAAGCCTAATGAGGAGAGTCTCAAGGAGTCAGTATTAGCTCCACCTAATGATACAAAGGTGTCACAGTCTATCTCAGGAGATGGTTCCCTGTCCTGGGGGTCTTCAAAAAGTAACTTACCAAAACCTTTTGCTAGGGATGTACAAGGAATCCAGCAGTCAATAAGAGCTTGGAGTATATGAGTTTTCATACTTTTTTCCAATCCTAAGAGTCTATAATTTTATGAATGTCAGAATTAATGGCAAGAAACATATAATTTTATGGATATTCAGAGCGACATTTGCCTCTCTACACCCAGGACTTGCTAAGCAAGTTGTATAAGCACGACCACAGAGGTGGAATGTTTAATAAATCGTCTCGCGAGATAGTGACTCTGTCTTAAGTTGGGGTTCCCCAGAAACAGACCTGAGATGAGGAGTCCTGTGCCCATGATGCATTAGGAAAGTACTCCCATAGGAAAAGTGTGAAAGAGGGAAGAAGATGGACAGGGGAGGGGTGGAAGTCAGCAAGAGTGGCATCTTGGGAGAAATTATCCCTCAGAGTGATCCCAACCCAAAGCAAGGGAACTGGACTTACATGCTTCTGCACCCATCGTAAACTGTTAAGGGCTGTGCTGGGAGAATGCAAACTATCAGATCTCAGCCTAGGCAGGCAACGCAGGCTTCAGGGACCCAAAGGCAGCCCTCATCAGAGGAGGGCAAAGGCTAGGCTTGACTATTGCCTGGGATGTTGTGAAGGGAGACTCAAAGGAACCCCACACCCCTACCATGCACTTAATGAGCCAGAAAAGGAGAAAAGGATTGAGCTGTCAGGCCCGTACTCTGTCTCCGGATCAAGAAACAGAATCGGAGGGGTGAAGACAGGATCCAGAAGGTGCGAATTCTGAGGATCATTGAGTGCCACAGGGCATTCAGTTCATCTAATGAAGGCAGTATGCCCAGTGGCTGGCAAACAATTTCATCTTTAAAATCCACTGTGAGTGCTTTCAAGCTGCCTAGCTCACATTCAATATACTATTTACAAATGGTTCTTATCTATTCATTAGGAAAGATAAAGCAATGATTAGATGTTCTTCTACTTGTTAGTAACAAAGCTGTAAATGATAAAGATTACGTTTCAGTGGCTCACATTCTGGACATTTTATAAGTTCTAGCAGATGCCTTTCCCAGCCCCCTTCTATACCTTTTAATCCAAATGAATGAGATATTTCTGTAATAAAAAATAGAATGACTAAGGGTGCCTTAATTTTGTCCCACCTAATGTTCAGCTCTGTATTTTCTAACCTCAGAACCTACAATCCAGATTGTGGTTTGGTCTAAGATTGGAAATGTCCCTACCTAACTGTAATAACACTGAAAAAAAAGTTGTATCCATGAGCAAATTTCAAAATATTTTGCTACACAGTCTGTTTGGCAATTTACTCCCCACAGTGTTTCTTGCAGGATATAGTCTAAAGGTGACTAGGATAACGAACGGGTCAATGTTAGCCCATGTATACACAAAATTAGTAGTATCACCTTTTGAGACACAGAATAGCCCTATGACCCATCCAAGGTACACAAGAAATTGGTGTCCGGACTGGAAAGAGAAAGTTTTTTTTGGATGCCCAGCGTGGTACACTGCCTGTTGGGTTGCTCTTGGCTCTGACTTATCTTCCCTTCCCTTCTAGGCATTACAAAATCATCCCTTCTCGAAACACAGCCTTCTGAGAAGCTAAGTTTCCTATGGTAACTGTGGGTTTAATTTTCCAGTAGGTCTTAAATCAAGATGGAAGAAAGTACTGGGGCTGTAATATGCCTTAACCATGTCCCTCATTAAAATCTGTTGTGTTTTGGCTTTTGATTTTGTTTAGTGAGTTAACAGTTTTCACTTTTCTTAAAGGGCCAGTACAGTAAAATTACCTTCCGGACACCTCTCTATCTTGGTGGAGCTCCCAGTGCTTACTGGTTGGTCAGAGCAACAGGAACAAACCGAGGCTTTCAAGGCTGTGTGCAGTCTCTCACTGTTAACGGGCAGAGAATCGACATGAGGCCTTGGCCACTGGGGAAAGCACTCAGTGGGGCCGATGTGGGTAAGTGGATGCCCAGGGGGCAAGGGTGTTCTTGTGGGATTGCCTTTCTGGTGTGGGCCAGGGAGGTGAGCAGCTTCATGGGTTAAACCCTGGGCGGCTGGTTAATGCAGAACTTCAGGAGGGAGGTGGGCCCAAGGGGTGAGGTTGGTGCTCTGCAGACGTGATGACCCTAGTCTGAACACCAAGCCGTGGTAAACAATGTGGCGCACCAAACCCTTGGTTGTGTCCTGCTGCCATCTTGGCTCTCTTCATGAAAGTGTCGTGGTCTCATCGGACAAAGCAACAAGCAATTCAGCCCTTTCACCCTTCCTTACCCAGTCCAGTGGAAAAGCTGACACAATAATGTAAGAAGAGATTTCATATGCTCTCTGCTTCTAAGGGAAATGGTCAAATTCTAATTCTTGACCACTGTGCCCAATACCTTCTCATATGCCCTCTCATTTACTCCTCACACTGACTCTAGGAGGTAGAAATTATTATTATACCTATTTTATACATAAAGAAACTGGGGCTTGTAAAAGTCAAATAACTTATCCAAAATAGCAGGCAGATCTAGGATTGCTTTTTTTTCTTCTTTCTATTTTCTTTTTTTTATTATTATTAAGACTTTATTTTTTGAGCAGTTTAAGGTTCACAACAAAATTGAGGGGGAAAGTGCAGAGATTTCCCATACACTCCCTGCCCCCACATATGCATAGCCTCCCCCATTGTCAATATCCCCCACCGGAGTGGTACATTTGTTAATTGAGGCACCTACATTGACACATCACAATCACCCAAAGTACATAGTTTACATTACGGTTCATTCATGGTGTTGTACATTCTATGGGTTTGGACAAATGTATAATAACATATATCCATCAATATGGTATCATATAGAGTATTTTCACTGCCCTAAAAATCCTCTGTGCTCTGCCTATTCATCCCTCTCCTTCCCCCTCCCACTCCCAACTCCTGGTAACCACTGATCTATTTATATTCTCTATAGTTTTGCCTTTTCCAGAATGTCCTGTAGTTGAAATCGTACAGTATGTAGCCATCTCAGATTGGGTTCTTTCAGTTGGTAATATCCATCTAAGGTTCTTCCGTGTCTTTCACGGCCTCATGGTTCATTTCTTGTTAGCACTGAATAATATTCCATTGTGTGGCTATACCGCAGTTTATTTATCCATTCACCTACTAAAGGAAATCTTGGTTGCTTCCAAGTTTTGGCAATTATGAATAAAGCTGCTATAAATAGCCCTGTGCAGGTTTTTTTGGTGGACATAAGTTTTCAACTCCTTTGGGTAAACACCAAGGAGTGTGACTGCCGGATCATATGGTAAGAGTATGTTTAGTTTTGTAAGAAACCGCCAAACTGTCTTCCAGAGTGGCTGTACCATTTTGTATTCCCGCCAGGAATGTACAAGAGATCCTGTTGCTTCACATTCTTGCTAGCATTTGGTGTCGGCAGAATTCTGGATTTTGGCCGTTCTAATAGATGTGTAGTGGTATCTTGTTGTTGTAATTTGCATTTCCCTAATGACATATGATATAGAGCATCTTTTCGTATGCTTATTTGCCATCTGTATGTATCTTCATTGGTGAGGTGTCTGTTAAGGTCTATTAGCTCATTTTTTGTTTGTTTTCTTGTTGAGTTTTAAGAGTTCTTTTTATATTTTAGATAACAGTCTTTTATCAGATGTGTCATTTGCAAATATTGTCTCCCAGTCTGTGGCTTTTCTTCTCATGCTCTTGACAATGTCTATCACAGATTGGAAATGTTTAATTTTAATGAAATCCAGCTTATCAATTATTTCTTTCATGGATTGTGCCTTTGGTGTTGTGTCTAAAAAGTCATTGCCATACCCAAGGTCATCTAGGTTTTCACCTATGTTATCTTCTAGGAGTTTTATAGTTTTACATTTTACCTCTGAGTCTGTGTTCCATTTGATTTAATTTTTGTTAAGGGCGTAACGTCTGTGTCTAGATTCATTTTTTGGCATGTGGATGTCCAGTTGTTCCAGCACTATTTGTTGAAAAGACTAGAATTGTTTTTAAAGCAATAAGGACATTTATTCCGTCACTGCAGGCAGCAGATAGATAATTCTAAGGTTGGTTAATTCAATGACTGTTTTAGTCTGCTAGGGCTGCCATAACAAAATACCATAGACTGGGTGGTTTAATTAACAGAAATTTATTTTCTCCCAGTTCTAGAAGCTTGAAATCCAAGATCAAGGTGTGGCAGTTTTGGTTTCTCCTGAGGCCTTTCTCCTTGGCTTACAGATAGATGGCCATATTCTCCCTGTGTCCTCACATGGCCTGTTGTCTGTGCTCCTGGTGTCTCTCCCTCTTCTTAAAAGGACAGCAGTCAGATTGGATTAGGGCCCACCTTTATGACTATTTAATCTTAATTACCTCCTCGAAGACCATCTCTCTCAAATACAGTCACGCTGGGAGTTAGAGCTTTAATCTATGAATTTTGGGGGGACATAATTAAGTCCATAACAGTGACTCAATAATGTCACAACTCTCAGTTGGTGTCTCTGTGATTCTCTTGCTTTTCACTCATAATCTCAAGATGTTACCACAATTCTAAGCATCACGTCCTCACGTGACATCGTCCTTGGCAAGAAATAGCAAGTCCCTTTCTTGGGTCTCCTTTCCCTCCATCTCCAAGATGTTATTTTGCAAGAATGCCCAGTGAACACCATGTACCCACTGCCTAGACTCTACCATTCATTTTGGCACATTTGCTTTACCATGTATTCGTCCATCCCTCTCTCCATTCCTGGATCAGAGCTAGGATTCGATCCTCGTGTCTCCAGGTACAGTTTGTCTGTTTTGTAGCTGATATTAGTTGAGCACCTACTATATGTAGCCACCATTCTAAACTGCTTCAACCTTCCCAAGATTCCTATGAAGTTGGTGCTAGGATTAGCCTTGGTGTTAACAGATGAGAACGGGTGGTACAGAAGAGTTAAGTAACTTGCCTGAGGTCACACAGCTAGTAAGTTGCAGAGCCTAAATGTGACGTCAGCCAGTCTGGCTCCAGTGCCTGCCCTGTTAATCACATCTATCACATCAAAGTCTCCCAAATTGACTTCAAATTGCTTACCTCCACCTTGCTCACTCCTAAAGGTGATACCATTGTTAAAACTACAAAAGAGGAAGTTTTCTTAAAAGGAAAAGATTACTACCCATATGTTATTCCCTATGTTATTACCCTAAACCCCAATTGATCACTTAGTCAAAGCAAACAATAAACAGCAATGACTAAAACAATTATAGAAGCACCCGCTGTGGTAGGACCATGTCTCCAAAATCCCTCTTCTGGGATGTCTGTGATGATACAGAACGTGAGATCCAACAGGTCCATCAGAAGTCTCATGTGGTGTGTAAGAGCCTGGACTCTGAGGGCACATTGCCTGGATTTGGCAAATCAGTTAACCTCTTTGGGACTCAGTTTCCCCATCTATAAATGGTACCTACCTCATAAGATTTTGTCTGGATGAGTTGTGGTGCGTATAAAGTACTTAGAATAAGGCCTTGCACATAGCAAACATGTGGTAAATATTTCCTGCTATTAATATGATTATTAATATTCTGACTCCACTCATCAAGCAGGGTATAAGTTGTTGCTTCTCTTCATTGACCTGACAGGGAAGCAGCCCTGAAGGACAGCTCTGGCAGTCGTGAGGCTGCATGGTAGCCTCTGACAGCTAGTTAACAAGTTGCAAAGTTGAGCAAGGAACAGTTTATGACAGCGTTTTCAATTCTCACACAGTGTGATGCCAACCTCTCCACTGAGCAGATAACACCAGGAGAGCCCACTTTACTGGCTCTGGGCTGCTTGGAGGCAGATGTTGGATTATTCAGTTTCTCTCTATGAACCTTAATGGCAGGCATCAGTCACATTGCCTTTTTTCTTTTATTCTCTTTCTTTTTTCCCCTTGGGGTACAAGAGCAGGGCTAGTTATCCTTCTTCAACCTCCAGATTTGCTTTCCTTTGAGTTGTCCTCCTGAAATTCAAGTTCTTGTAAATTAAATGCAGTCTCACCCTGGGGAAGACTGGGCTCATGCAAGCAGCAGTGAATTTCTGGTGGAGATACAGGCTTCCAGAGGAAGTGACGACAGTGCAGAGTTGTGCTTCTTCCATCTGACACCTCTAACATGGTATTGCCATCTTCAACCACAACTTTTTTTCTGTTCCCCCTCCACCCTCACCAAACCTGTTTCCACTCCTCAAAGGGGCCTTTCATTACTCAACCCTTCCCACTTCTTCTCCTTCATTAGACTATTCCCAGCTATTGGACTCTCTGCAACTCAACTCTGCAACTTCTAGAATAGTCAGCAATCTCAGCAAAATTCTGCATTCTCTGGCCCAGGCTTTTCTTTTATTATTTCCACCTAAATTCTCAAACATAAACCACCACCACTCATTTTTTCCAATCCTGTCCTGGATCTCCACACCCTGCTGGAGCAAAGTCACAGAGCCAACTTCCCAAGTTATTTGAGGTTCAAGAGGTCTGCCCTCCTGCCCCTCACTTCATTATCTTGCGTAAACCTACGCAATAGCTGGCATATAGTAAGTGTTGCTGTCAACAAAAATTATTTTATATATTGATGATGAGGTCCTGCCAGCCCTCTATACACATGACCTTGCAACCTCCTTCTTCCCACCCTTAGAGTTGAAAGTTTTCCTCATCTCTAAAACTAACCTATTCATCTGCACTCTGCACCCATCCCTAGGACCTTGCTGCCAGGACAATCTCTTCAATAACCCAAGGATTCTTAACCTTTGTGTGCCATGAACCTCTTTGGCAGTCTGGTGAAGCCTATGGACCGCTTCTCAAAATGATGTTTTTAAATACAGTGAATAATATACATGAGAGGAAACAGTTATATTGAGATAAAGCTATACAATATTTTTAAGTTTTGGTACTATAATAATATATGTGCTGCTTTAGAAAGCATTAAAGAACAGGATTATTTAATGGTGGGAGCAATAACTACCATGATTTCGAAGTAGTAATGAACATAAATGGTATTTTAAGATATCTTCAACTAATGGAATGCCATATGATGATAACTCAGGGCTACTGGTCACAAGTCACAAAAACTGCTAATGCTAGATGTTTGTTGCCGCCATTAATAATTGAAGGAAACGCTCAATTCCAGTTAGAGGTTAGGGAAAATAAAGATTCTTGTTTTTCCCCACTAAGTCCACAGACCCTTTGCTCTAGCTTATTCCCAGTTGCTCAGGTCCTTTCCAGCTTAAATCAGTGCCATGCTTGGCACAACCCTGCTACCCTTCTGGTCTGGGGACCTGGGAACCTCTCTCCTCTCTTTCAAGACCTGACCCCAGCAAGCTTTCCAGTCCCCCTGTCTGAACCTCCTGTGAGGGGGCTTCTGCCTTCTACTGCACACCGAAACTGCCCTCCTAAAGCTGTGAGTGGTCCTCTCTGCACAAAACCCTCCTGGACCTCTCGGTGGTGTTAACTCTGACGCTCTCTTTGCTCCTGCTCCTCCCTGAGCTTCCCTGAAGCTGCCCTGTCTGGGTCCTTAGGCCCTTTGGCCTGTCCTCCCTCTGTCTTCTCTGCTGGTTCCCTGGGAGTCCATGGGGCCTTTCATCCTGTCCTCTTGCAGGGAGCCCATCCGTTCTTGGTGTCAGCGTCACTGCCCTGCTGCCACGGCCCCTCCAGCCCTCACCTGTGCACGGATCCCTTCTTGCGCAGGGGGCTCAGCTGTGGATGTTTCCACAGTCACCTTATGCTTAAATTCAGCAAAGGCCAACTCCTCGTCTGCTCTTCAGCACCCAGTTTCTGTTCTCCACCGCGCTCATTTCTTTCATCTTGCCCCTCTTCTTTCAGTCTTCCACACTAGAAACGTTGAGGTTATGCTAGTCTTCCTCCACCTTCAACCTATAGAATGAACTGGTTACTTCTTCTTTCCTTGTGTCTCTTTGCTTCTTTACTTTCTATTTCTCTGCTATCACCCTATCCAACCCCAGTTTACCTCCCTGTAGGATTTCTGTCGTCTTTCCCACCCCCATCACTCACAATCTATTTTGCATGCCATTGCCAGCATAATCTGGCTGAAACTCTGCTTTCATCAAGTAAACAACTCTGGCTGGCTTTCTTGCCCCCTGCCCTACTCCTACCTTTTAAAAACTAGTTACGACACAAATCTGTAAAATAATTTTTCCCACGTGTATCTAAAATAACCCAAGGACCCCACTTCTTCCTGTGGGACCGGCCCTTCTCTGAGAAAGAATCTCAGCCCACAGAGATTGCTGTAGCACAGGGACCTGTGAGAGTTTGGCTAAGATCAAAGTCAGCCTCTCTGTGGAGACTGTGAATGCTGGCAATGTTCTCAGGGCTGTGCAGAACCAGTCACTTCTGCCTGAACTTCCACTGGCCCCCAGCTGGAATTCACAGGGGCCAGCCCACCCCAGCTAGAGGGACAAGCCATCTGGAAGGGCTTTAATTAAATTCTGTTATCAGCCCTTGAAGTCAGTCTGCTCTCCTGGGTACACCCTGTGCCCAGCCCTTCCCCCTCCTCCCAATGAGCCTTTTTGAAAAGCTTGATTCAACAAACACAGATGACTGCTGAGGAGAGGATAAGAGACTCACCCAGCTGAGATGACACAATTAGGCCAAGGAGGGCTCTTCCTCTCACAGGAGACAGGCTACCAGCTTATGAGGGCGCAGCATTGGAGATCGCGGGGTGCAGAGCTGGACCCCTCACAGCTCAATCAGAGATTCCTTTTGGCTCCATCCCGAGAAGAAGTGTGTTGTACTCACCTATGTCGTTCCGGGCCAGATTGTGGCCTATCTGCCTAATTTATTTCTTATACACAAGGAGAAAAGGAAGACCAAAGATGCAGAAGAGAAGCCGCCCAGGAAAAGTCAGTTTGTTCCCACTTCATGTGATGATCTACACTTGACAATGACAAAGTATACCCTGGATGGGCCTCTCTAATATATGTTTGGATAAGAGAATGAACCCATTTGAGATTGAACCTCTCAGCACTTTTTACTCCAGGCCACCTTCCTGTCGCTCATAAGATTGTAACTTTAGAGATAGAAATAGGGATTCTGGAACGCACATGCTGAGGTATTATGGAGCTCTCCCTCTCAGCTCCCTGCCCCAGACAGAGGAGTGGACAATTCAGGCCAGCTAATAAGCTTAGACATGGCTGCTTAACTCCTTGGGTGCTTATCTTGCTTGCCTCAACTTTCAACCAACAAGGCGGCAGCACTTAAGGTAATTGGGGTCATGCAAATTAGAAGGCTTCTAACATAAACACTGTGTTGACACTGGCGGGATTGAAACACGCTCTTGTGGGAACAACAGAGAGACAAATTAAAGCAGAAACAACTCAGTCATCCCCGTCAGTGGTCATAAAATTGCCCAACAATTTATTATTTGATTTATTGTGTCCACCATGTTTTAAAGAGTCTCTGTGGCTCTTCATAAAGAACAAGCCAAAATCAAATTAAAATGAAGGGAAGGTTCCACTTACCCTGAAAGCTGGTTTGCAGTTGTGCAAAAGTGCAAGTCAACAGGAGTGGGAAGTGAACTGTATTTACTCAGAACCATGAGCTGTTGGTGTGGTCAGCTCCATCGTCTTGGACTGGCTCACAAGATGAATCGGCTTTGTGATTCCTGTTCTGTATTTAGGGGAATGCAGCAGTGGGATCTGTGATGAAGCCTCGTGCATCAATGGCGGCACCTGCACAGCAATCAAAGCCGATTCCTACATTTGCCTCTGTCCCCTGGGATTTAAAGGTCGACACTGTGAAGATGGTGAGAAAGAAGCAAGTTGATGGCGATTTCTGTCTGCATTGTTAATTCATGTTGATGTCATTTTTCATCAATGTACTTTTAGCAAAGCCCCATACATTTTTATGGGATTAATATTGCTTCGTTGGGAGGGATGGGAGAATCTTTTTTTTTTTCCACCAGGTCAATGTGTGTTAGAGTGCTAAAATGTCGAACCAATCAAAGATATGTCCATTTTAAGATGCTTCTGGGCCAGAATTTGGTGGGCTTCTCTTGGCCCTCAAATAACTTTGAAAAGCCCATATTTGTGTGGTCTATATCAGACTGAACAGCTCGTGCTCCTTAGAATATCTGACAGTTTCAGAGAAAAGGTTGGGAAGAAATACACAGAAACATTAACCAACGTCATGGAAAAAAAGTGATCTTGTTTCTTTTTCTCTGTACCATTATGCTGAGTTATTCCACCTCTCAATAAATATATACATGTAAATACACATGTATAGACAAATGCACACATATAATAATGGAAAATTTGGGGGATTTAAAAGATTTTTGGAAAACCATGCAGAGTTGAACATGTTTTGACTTTTCCACCGGTGATTCAGATTTGGATCTAAGACATCTTGGGGAAAATTTTTTTTTAACACTGTATAATCTCAAATCTCATGTCACCTAGAAGAAGGCATGTTAGTCAGGGTAAGCCAAAGCTGTTACATACTGTCTCATACTTCCGGAGCCTAACATAATAAAGGTTGGTCCTTGCTTGCGTCACACATCACTGCAGGTGGTGGTGGTAGTGGGGTGGCCTCTGCTCCACGCAGTCATTTAGGAATGCAGACTCCTGCCTTCTAGGGGCTCTGCTAGACCCTTACAATCCTCCACTGATTCCTGTATCTAGCCAGCAGGTGAGAGAAGAGACAGCATGCGGTGGATGGAGACCTGGGGTGCTGTATGGTACTCCCACCCACATTCCACTGGCCAGAATTCGGTTACACCGCCCACCTAACTTCAGGGCAGCTAGGAAATGTAGTTTAGCTCTGTACCCAGGAGGAAAAGAGCCAGTTTTGCCCCAGGGGGGTTTCTAACAACATGCTTGTTTCTTCAGCTTTCAGCTTGGCCATCCCTCTATTCAGAGAGTCCCTGAGATCATATGCTGCAACACCCTGGCCACTGGAGCCCCAGCAGTACCTTTCCTTCATGGAGTTTGAGATTACGTTTCGGCCGGACTCGGGAGATGGCGTCCTCCTGTACAGCTATGATACAGGGAGCAAAGACTTCTTGTCCATCAACATGGCAGGGGGCCACGTGGAGTTCCGCTTTGACTGTGGCTCTGGGACTGGTGTTCTCAGGTAAGGGCTGAGACCTTTGCGGGCTCCCTTCCCTCAAAAAGCCAAACAGCAGCCACTTGGGAAAAAGACGAATTTGTCATCTAATAGTTTGCCGTCTTCCTGTCTTCCCTACACAGTCATCTTTTCTGAAACCTGTCCTGATTCATACAGATGACGTGCTTCCTATAGATCCTGCTGTCCTGGTGGCAAGGTTTCCTCTTCTCAAGTAACTACCCAGCAGGTAGCGATTCTCTGTATCAAACTATGGAAGACGGGCTTGCTTCAGATGGGGCTAAATTGCCTTCATTTCCACCTGAGATCACACAATGCCATCAGCAGAAACTTGATGAATTGTAATTAATCAGCACCTTGCCCAGAGCATCACTTGGTGAGCGCTCAGCAAATATATGGCGATTAATAAAAAAGTATTAACAGAGATTTAATGAACAGAAACATCTTTGGTGACCTCACTTGAAAATGTTAACTTTCCTCTTGCACTGTTTCTTTGATGGTAACTAGTTATTTAGCAGGTCTCTTACTGTTCTCCCTATAAAGAACCGGACAATGCATTATCGTCAGTTGCCAAGATCCATCCCTGACCAGTATGCTGAAGAAGCCTGGGTGATGAGTGGTTTCAACAGCATGGCAGTAAATAGGTGCTTCTCAAGTACCTGCTGCTATCTGCAGAATTGGTTCTGAGTCATCAAAACTTTCCTCCTGTTATCTTGTTTGTGCTATTAATTTACCTAGCAGATCGATTTTTCTCGTACAGTGTGTCAGTATCTTTGTGAATCCCTAGGAGCCTGTGGTTGGTAGACCAGATGTTTTTCTTATTTCTTTATGTCTGTATCTTCTTACTGAGTTCCTCCCATGCTAGTATTTACCTTCAAGCCAGAGCCCTGTGAATCTAATGCAGATGTACTTCTTGTTCCTACACTTGGCAGATTCTTCTCTTGTGAAACTCACTACGATGTTTTGTTCATTGATGCCCTACGGCAGGATATCAGCTAGGCTGCTGTTGTTGTCTTCGCGGGCTGTATTCAATCGCTATTCATGTTGCTGGACTGTCATTTTTAGGAAGACTATGTGGGTGAGATGTTACAATCTTGCCTTGCCCTAAACTGCTGTTCATTTTTCGTGGCTGATGGGAAATGCTCACTGCATTAGGTTTCAACAATTCTTAAAAAGGACAGTTCATTTTTGCCCTTATTGATGAATTCCTACACGTCAGTGACACTTCCCACTTTGGGGAATGGACAGACATTATGTTTTTGCATAACCAGTACCTCTGGTTATGCAAAAACATCCAATGTCTCAAGACAACATTGGTGGGGATTTAATTGATTCAATTTACATATGATTGTGTGAAACAGTCTAAGCAGTTTACTTAGAACTATTTGTCAAGTTGAGAAAGGGAGATACCTTGAATATCACTTTGTACTTTCCAGTGGCTTCCTCCGAGATAAGGAATGACCAGAAAGAGCCAAGGGAGGGTCAGGGCTCATCAACCTTCCTCCTGGACAGATTGCACCCCGCACCCTGCACCTCTGCAGTGGCAGCTCCAGCTGTGGGGTCACAGACACATGGGACCCCAGAAGTCTAGCATTTCTCCTTTTCATAGTTCTGTGCCTGTTTTTGACAGAAGATGTTTTTAATTTTTTAAAAAATGTAAGTTATTGTTTCCCTGCCTGCCGGGAAAGGCAACTGGAAAAAGAATTCTTTTTTTTTTTTCCTGGTGGGAAAGAGTCACCCTGAGCTACCATCTGTTGCCAATCTTCCTATTTTTTTTTCTCCCCAAGGCCCCAGTACATGGTTGTATATCTTAGTTGTAAGTCCTTCTAGTTCTTCTATGTGAGCCGCCACCACAGCATGGCAACTGACAGACAGGTGGTATGGTTCCAGGACTGGGAAACGAACCCAGGCCGCCAATGCAGTTAGAGTGCCAAACTTTAACCACTAGGCCATCAGGGCTGGCTCTGGAAAAAGAATTCTTGAGTACTAGGTATGATGAAAAGGAGGCAAAGGCTCAGAATTTCCACGGAACAAACCGCCATCTCCTCCCTTGTCCGATCGCCCTCCAATGTAACCTGACAAAAGTGATCACTGTCAGTGTTTCAGACCCCCCTCTGGGAGATGTGTATTTTGAAAACCATTTCAAAGACTTCCTGTTTAATTTAGAAAATTCAGTGAAAGCCTGAACTACAGGAAGTTGGGGAATTGGCCAAATCATTTTAACTTTAGGAGAAGGATAAGGTGGTCAAATTCATTATGAACTTGATTCAAAAATCGAGACAATTGAAATGAGCTCGTGATGGCCGTGATCAATATAACTGTGGTGAGGAAGGCAGCGTATTGACAGGAATGACCTCTGCAGGACAGGAACACGACTGAGGCGCTGTTAGTTATTATGGAGATGGGCCACTTAAAAAGTGCCGCTGGTTTCTTTATTGCATATTGATTTACCCAAGGTGATTAAATTCTAATTGCTAAGGACAAATCACAGAAGCATTTGCCAGAGCAAAAAAATCAAGTGAGGAGGTGGAGACCTTTTAATAATTGTGCCCATTGGTATTCCTGATGGTTTTCTAAAGATGATCCAGGACCAAAAAATAAGTGGGAGGTTCAGTGAAGGCCAGGAACTAGACATCATTAGAAATACAAATGCAATAATTATACTCTTTTTGTACACCTCACTATAAAAAGTAATATGTAAAACTCCTATCGATATCATTTAAACTTCAAGTGCTTCCACCTTGAATTAATAATTGAATTTTTAAAGTAATTTTAATCCTTTTCACAGTATCAGACAACATGGAATTTGTTCCCCTCCAACATTTTATTATGAAAAAATTTCAAACCTATAGAAAAGTTGAAAGAATTGTACGGTAAACATCCTTACATCCATCACTTGTAGTCTACAATTAATATTTTGCTGTATTTGCTTTATCCCAACCTTACATCAATCCATCCATTCATCCATCCATCCATCCATCCATCCATCCACCCATCTTATTTTTTTATGCATTTCAAAGGATGCTGCAGACATCGATATACCAAGGAATCTGTGTTTTACACCATAGCCCATATAATTTTCCCTTCTTCAAAGCTTGTATGTAACTCTGATCACATTTAACCCTCCTGTCACCCCTCATCTAGAAAACCAGGCTCAATCCACCCACATTTCAGGCTTGATGTAAGGCGTAAATAAAATAATAAGTGCAATGCTCCTACCCTGATGGGGTCCAATAACTAGAGCGAGCCCTGCTGTGTTGGTACTAAGTAGGCATGATTGTTTTCTTTTTGCTGAACAGAGTGAGGTGCCTGAGGTTGGCATCAGTTTCATCAGAGCTGGATGGATGAACGTATCAGTCACACCAGTGATGCTAACCCACGCTCAGTTTCCTTCCTCCTACAGGAGTGAAGACCCCCTTGCCCTGGGCCACTGGCACGAGCTGCATGTATCTCGCACAGCGAAGAATGGTATCTTACAGGTGGATAAGCAGAAGGTCGTGGAGGGAATGGCGGAGGTAAGAAGGACACACCTTTGGTTCTGATAGTTAGTGCGAACTGGGTTACTGTTTTCTTCCTGTCCTGTGGGAAAAGCAGCAGCATAGTGGTTAAACACATGGATTCTAATGCCAATCTGCCTGGGCTAAAACCCCGGCTCCCCACTGGACAAGTCACTTAACTTTTCTATTTCCCAAGTGTGAATGGGGATAATAATAGTAGTGGCCTCACAGGGTGGTGGTAAGGATTAAGTGAGCCAGTACAAGTACAACACTTAAAAGACTGCCTGCCACCTCCAATCCTCGCTGCCAACCCTCGCCTTTGTTCCTGTCGGTGGATAATGTAGGAGGTCAGAACACAGACTATGAGGTAGGGCCTGTGGTGTGGGGGTAACACATCTGATAAGAACACAGACTCTGAGACCAGACTCCCAGGGTTCAAGAACACAGACTCTGAGACCAGACTCCCAGGGTTCAACATCTAGCTCCGTTACTTACCAGTAATGTGAACTCAGACCCCTAGTGTGTGTTTTCTCATCTATAAAATGGGGATAATGGTGGGGCCGGCCCGGTGGCGCAAGCGGTTGGGTGCACGCGCTCCGCTGTGGCGGCCCGGGGTTCGCTGGTTCGGATCCCGGGCGCGCACCGACGCACTGCTTTGGCGAGCCATGCTGTGGCGGCGACCCATATAAAGTGGAGGAGGATGGGCACGGATGTTAGCCCAGGGCCGTCTTCCTCAGCAAAAAGAAGAGGAGGATTGGCGGATGTTAGCACAGGGCTGATCTCCTCACACACAAAAAAAAAAAAATTAAAATGGGGATAATGGTGATTATAATAGTGCTTGCTTCATGGAGTTGTGAGAATTAGAATAACTATGTCTGTAAAACACAACTGAGCCTGGCATATGGCCAGCGCTATGTAGCTTTATTGATTGTTAGCTAATATGTAGCAAACTCTCATGATCTCTAGAGCTCCGAATTTCTACTCAAGTTTATAACTTTCATGCATGATTTTATTTCCAAGGTCATGTCCAAAGGAAAATGATATTTTAAAGGAGAGCTAAAAGAGATTTGCTTTAAACTATAAGCTACTAGGATTCTGCACACACAAAAAATTTACAGACCCCTAAAAACGGAGGGCACTTTAGATTTGCCAGTATTTTAATTCCCAACCATCTTCATTTTGTGCATCACGAGATTTAAAGAGGGCATTGATGAATGTAAGTGTTCTGAAAAGAAAATGGATTGGTTGTAAAAAGAGACTTTGGGTGAGGAAAGAGGTATTTGGTTGAGGAAGAGAGAAGAAAGAAGGACACACACGTCCAGAGGCCAGCCTCAGGGACTGCAGTGGTGGGAAGTTCTGTCAGAACCAAGGACATCCTTAGGATTAAAAGAACCCCAAACTGGGTTCTGCTTCAAGAGGCAAGCACCCTTCAGACCTAGAAAATATTCCATATGTATTTGTGGGAAGAGAGGAGGGAGAGAGGGAAGAAAGGAAGGGAGGAAGTAAGGAAGAAAGGATGAGAGGATGGGAGGAAAGGAGAGAGGGAGGGAGGGAGGAAGGGAGGAAGATAGATTAAGGGAAATAGACTTTAAAGGGAGAATAGGAGTCACTTCTGGTACAATCCAAAAAATTCTAACAACTGACTTTAGTCCAAGACAGAATGAGCAGCTCACAAGTATAGACTTGACAGTATGTTGCCTTAATAATATAAATTCAAAAAAGCATTATATCTCTCTAGGCCTTAGTTACAAACATCTGTAAAACAGGAACAAAAGCTTAGGATGGGAGCATTTGTAAATAGTAATGTTAAGGCCTCTGATTATAAATAAGGAACTCCTCAGGGCACAGTATTTACCACTGGGATCCAACAGTGAAGAGACAACACGAGGTAAAAACCGCACCTCAGAGTTTCTATTACTACCACATCAGGGAATGAGGGTTAACCCAATATGGTGGAACCAGTGCCCTCCCTGTTGGCTTTTTAAACCGATGGAGCTAACTGGAGTGCTGGCCACCTGGAAAGCAATGTGAACATGTGGGAGGGAAGGTATGGCTGTTCTGTGTGCATTTGAGGATGGTTCTTTTGGGGCTGCTCTGAGACAGGAGTGGGAAGGCCCCACACTTGATCTCGGAGAGTTGAGCCTTAATCAGATCTCCCCCCAAAGGATTCAAGCAGAACACTACCTTGTTCAAGGGGTAGTGTTCTTAGAGCTTAGACATGGGTGGGGGTGGGGATCAGAGAACAATTCCAGGGGCTAATCCAGGACCTAGGCCCCCAAGTGTCCAGACTAAAACGGATTGCTCCAACTGCATTGAGAAATACCAACAGCCCAGAACTATGAGTCAAGTGATGGCAGGACTCAAAGGGACAGTGCTTCCAAGGGCTTCAGAAAACCCCAAACAGGAGGTTTGCTCAGGTTTTCCAACCACTTCCAGCTAAACAGGAGTGGCAGATCCAGACATGAAGCACCTCACTTCAGAAGGCCTCACTTTGGTGGGGTCTGTTTGCTTCTCTCCTGCGGTCCCACATGGGCGGGGCAGCTGCAGCCGTGCCTCTTGTCAACAGAAGGGTGGTGGGGGAGGATTCTGATGAGCAGCCAAGAGGAACAGCTCTCACCCCACAAGGCCCCGCCCCATTCACTGAATGGGACGATAACTCATAGTTTTTTCAAAACAGCCTGCTTCTCTGAAACCCCTTTGACCCTGCAACCTTCCTCCTTTTCCTTTTATTATCTTATTTTAACTTCCAGTAAGAGCAAAGACAAGAGAGATGGGTGCCTGTGGGTGTGTGGTGACCGCTTCTGCCTGGTTCGGTATTCCATGGGCCACAAGAATTCCTGAAAGCCCTTCTGCTTCTTTGATGGCACCTCCCCCAGTTAAATAAGAACCCTCGAAGCTGCCCAAAGGTTACTGATGGAAGATAATCCAGTCTGTAATCTAATCAAGACTTCCCTGCAGCCACATATCTGGACCCAGCCACTGTGAGGGCTCCCCTAGATGGAGCATCCTCCTTTCTGCTCTCCTTGTCTCCTCTTCTCCATCCAGACCCAGCCCGACCCCAAATCCATTCTCCTCCCTCTGGCCAGTGATCTTCCTAAAACATGTATCTGACTATTCTCTCTCTTGCTTAAAACTCATTGCTTTTTGGATAGAGTGCAAATGCCTATGCATGCATGATCTGGTCCCTTTTTGCCTCTTCCCCTATCTATATTTCCTCCAACACCTGACTTCATCAGTTTCGACAATTCTAACTCTTCTTTGACCATCTCCCCCACTCTCTCTGTCTGGGGTAGGGTATGAGACACTGACCCCTCCCCCCCACCAGGTGCACCCATAGCCACCTGGACGGTCCTTGCGGTACTAATCCCACCTGCCCCCTTGCTTGCCTGTATTCCTGGAGTGGAAGCCTCTGTAGGGCAGGGACTGGTCTGTCTTCTTTATTGTTGTTTGTCCAGCACTTAGTGTCTAGATATAGTAGGTGCCCAGTAGTATTTGTTAAACTGATGATGAGTGCTGCTACTATTTGTATTTGTTTTACCATAAATCAAAGGAAGCAATAACTTATGTTACCCAAAGTGTGTGCATCCCCAGAGATCTTAAATTTTAACTTATCTCTGTATGTTATCTTAGACATTTTAACATTTCGTTTAAGGCTCATGTTGGAAGGAGTTTAGATATTAAATATTACACACAGCTTGTTATCTAGCCCAGCCATTGGAGTTTAGGCTGTCGAAATGACCAGAAGCAAGAGAAGCCTCTGGGGATTGACAATCGGGTATTCTCTGGGAATCTGGAAAGAATTTCTCTGCCCTTTGTATTTGGTAACAAGGAATGCCTCCCACCCCCCATGCCTTCCCTTCCTCTTAGCCCAAAGAGGTCTATCTTTACCATTAGCAAATATGACAATAGCAGGCCGTACTGGAATGCTGACGATGCATCCACCTCTGGGCAAAGTGCTAAATAAGTGGGACCTCAGCCACCAGGATAGGCTCGACTGTGGTGCAGCCAGTCACAAACAACCCCAAAATATCAGCAGCTTATAATGAGGGTTTATTTCTCACTCACATTACACATCCAGCCACTGTCAGCTGCAGCTTGAATCTGAGACCCAGGCTGAAGGAATAGGGAGGGAGGAACAGGGCACGTGAACCGCTCCCTGGCGATTCATTTCTCTTCTGCTCATATTTTATTAACTAAAGCAAGTTACCGGGCCCCGCTTGAGATGGACAGGTGGGGGGTAATCTTCCTGCAGGGCGAGGGGTACTGCAAACGTTCAAACAGGTGGTAAGTAGCAATACAAAACGATGTGAAAATCAAGCCAACGTGTAGACAGATTGCTGTAATGAGTCTTCAGGCTGTCTCTACCATTTGGTAGTCTTAACCATCTTTTCTCAAGTGATACCATGTTTTGTTTTTAATCTGTTGGCAGGGAGGCTTCACACAGATTAAGTGCAACACGGACATTTTTATTGGTGGAGTCCCCAATTACGATGAGGTGAAGAAGAACTCGGGCATCCTCAAGCCATTCAGTGGGAGCATCCAGAAGGTACAGGCTTCACTTTCTCATGTTTATTGTGTGACCTGGACTGCAGACAATGGAACTGAAAATTGTGACCTGTGCAACCTGCTACACCCAAAAAAGAAACTTTGAGAAATTTTTAAGATTTTGTTATTTAATGCTCACAGCATAGCTTTCCAACCCCACTTTCTAATAATGTCTTCTCCTGGGTCTATGCCCAGCAGACATTCCATGAATGCAACTCAATGAAGATGAATTTTTACAGCAAATCCACCAAAATATCCTGGGACTGCTGAGGGACACAACTGGTGTCAGGTCACTGCAGATACTCCTACAAGAGGGAAGGAGGCGAATGGAGTCTCATAACAACTCTTGGCTCTGCTTCTCTGTGGGGTTACTTTGCATTTTGCCCAAGGCAAGAGCCAATTCTCATTCCCACCTCCACCCTCATTCCTACTCCCACAATTTAGCAGTTGTCCATCAATGTTGTAACCAAGGTCTTAAGAGCATAGATTAAAGAGTCCTTCCACAGAAGGTTCAGAACAAAAAAACACTCAGCTAGTAAAAGATACAAGGCACTGACCCCACTCATATTTGTCTCTTATTCCTTTTCTTGGGGCCGTCCATGATCTCTCCGGTTGTGAGAGTATGGTCTGTCTGCAACAGGCATACAGGTTGACACACCAGATTTCCAGGACCACCAAACACCAGGAGAAAAGGGATTTGAAGGAAAGCATATTTGGTTCCTGGATGGCAGTGTCATCCTGTTTTCCTTTAGCACCAGTGGTGGAATATGGGCCATTCATCCTTCTCAGACCTGAGGCCAAGTATGGGGGAGGCTGAGAGGAAGGAGGGACACTGAAAGAAGGTCCTATCATGATTTGCACATCCGGAAGCTGCGAAGGACCCCTGGGGCTGTGTCTTTCTCCTCTTATATCCCAGTGTCTGGCCCACCCAGTCAACATTTGTTGACTCCAATGCATTTCCCTTTGTTGCTGAACTGTGATGTCAGTGACACCTCAGTTCAGACCATCGTCCCCTCATGAGTGGGATTGGCCGTGTTTGATCGTGTGTTTGAAATTCTCACTTAGGAAGCAAGCTGAGATGCTAGGAGTCTTCACTTCCCTCCCCACCCTTGCCAGGCTTTGCCCCCCCCTTCACACAGTACACGCAAGCCTTTTCTCCTCACTTCCTGGAAAGGCCACCCTCCCCTCCCAGTGACCGAGTCATTGACTGTACCATATCCTGCAGTGAACGGTGCCATTCCGGGCTTGTCTCGAGTACATATGACTCAGTTTCACAGTCATTCACTTGCAGCATGAAAAGAGGGAGATTGTAGAAGGATTCTGGCTCCTCTCTAGCAGCTTCTGAGATTGAGGACTGGGGAAAAGTTTACTCCCAGCTCTCCCGACACTCTCCAAGGACTAGGCAAGCCTGTGGAAACATGGATTAGTGGCAGGAAGGGCCATTGCTAACCTTTTAGGACCCCTTACATGGTGGAGATTCTCCTGGGAGATGTTCTCTCTGTCTCCAAGTTCTGCAAAGCCTGAGAGACATGGAAACACCAACAGCTCAAAGTAAATACACACTACGAGTCAAGGGCTGAAAACACTGGGTCCTTTTATTTGGGACTGGGGAGCCCATTAAACTCTCCCTATAATTGACCATTTTCGCTATATCCCCATGCAGGGAAAAGGGGATGAGGGTAAAGAAGCTCTCTTGTCCTGTGAATATGCACAGCGGTGCTAAGAATGTGATCCGAGTTTCACTTTTTTGTTTTAATGGTGGGGAAGGGGATGTGGAGAGGAAAAGAATTCAAGAGTTTCAGGGAGTCAGGACAGCAAGAGTGAGTGGGACAATCAGGGAGGCCCAGCTGGTGGAGTTCTCGTGGAGACTACACAAGAACGTTAGCCAGGAAGATATAGCAGTACAGCGAGAAACTTCTGATTCCCACCCCACCAGAGGTGACCTCTCCTCCTTTGATTCCTGCCTGCATAACACTTTGTTATGTATTCTTCCCTACTGTGCTTTATAGCAGCCTCGCGCAACCCTGGCTGCACCTTAGAATCAACTGGGAAGCTTCTAGAAGTTACTGCTGAACTGGATCTCGCCCTCAGAGATTCTGATTCAATTGATCCGGGTGGGGCTGGCATTAGTATAGTTCTTAAAACTCCCCAGCTGATTCTAATATGCAGCCAGGTTGAGAACCCTAATTTTGAAGTTATTGAAACTTCTTTACGACCAGCCTGGCCTACTCTTCCAGATCCGGAGGATGCTTTACTCTCAGTAGATTCTCCTAAGGGACAAATGTAATCACTTCAGTTCCTGCATCACTTACAAGACTACAAAAGCAGCAACTGGACTTTCTCTCTTATTTTTAAAGCTCCCTCACTACATGTAGCTCAGGTTAGTGTGCTGAGAGAAGCTTCAGATGACTGCAAAGATGCTTTCTGAATTCATGAATTTCTTTACATTTTCTCTCCCCCAGATCATCCTGAATGACCGAACCATCCACGTGAAGCATGACTTTACCTGGGGCGTGAACGTGGAGAATGCAGCCCACCCCTGCGTAGGGGACCCCTGCGCCCACGGGGGCAGCTGCCGGCCCAGGAAGGAGGGCTATGAATGTGACTGCCCCTTGGGCTTCGAGGGGCTGCACTGCCAGAAAGGTACATGCAGGGGTCTCAGGCACTGCTTCCGGGAGCAGAGAGAATGGACAGACCATTTGGGGGACCGCCACTCTTAAAGGAAGAGTTGGTAACACCAGGACAGCCATACCAGTTATTTTTATCAATGATTTCATAACGTATTAGGTGGTTAATTGTATACAAACTACTATAATTATTTAATAATTAAAATGCTGAAATACTTCTGTAAGCGTAGGCAAATAGCTTCCCCACTTCCCTGCCCTAGCTTCTTCCCTGAGAATCCTCTCATGGTCCAGGAACCAAAAGGTTAACCCATAATATAGAGGAGTTTCCAGGATCCCCTGCATCTGAGTCACTTCCAGAGCCTATGGTGGATGCCTGTGCTTTACAGGCTGATAAGTATTTTGACCCCTGCCTGTGAATGCTATAGAGAGAAATCTGAGAAATCTTGCCAAATACAGAAAAATATGAATTTTACATTATTGACTCTAAAGTATGAATAACCTTGTGTAGAGTGCTTTTATCCATGATACCTAAGTTTCTCTGTGCCTCAGTTTCCTCATCTGTAAAATGAGAATGATAATAGCAATAGTATCTAACGCAGAGGGTTGTGGTATAGATTCAATGAAGCAATGTACATAAAGCATTTAGAAGTATGCCTGGGAAGTACTCAGCCAATACTAGCCATTATTCTTATTGGCGAGAAAAATAAAGTCCACTAGCAGGTACTGTGAGTTACTCAGCTTCCAACCTGCCCTTGTCTGAAAGCAGAGCGGGTCACAGACCACAAGCCCCTGCTGGACTGAGCTTTCCACACCTGCTCAAGGGAGGCGGAGGCCATAGGCCTGGGGTCTAGAAGAGGCCTGTACCATGCAGATGCATTATGTAGGCCATAAGGACCTTCTTGGTTAGAGCATCAGTGGGGTCCACCTGTCCAGGAACAAAAAACAGCAGGGGCCGGCCTGGTTGTGTAGCCGTTAAGTGCGCACACTCTACTTCAGTGGCCCGGGGTTCGTGGGTTCGGATCCCAGGCGCAGACCAACGCACCACATGTCAAGCCATGGCGGTGTCCCATATAAAGTAGAGGAAGATGGGCATGGATGTTAGCCCAGGGCCAATCTTCCTCAGCAAAAAGAGGAGGATTGGCAGATGTTAGCTCAGGGCTAATCTTCCTCACAAAAAACAAATACAAAAGAAAGCAGACAGGCCCACAGGAAGTAAGGCAGCGAGCCTAAGTGAAGGAATGGGCTCACTCTCTTTCCTATTTGTTTCCAGGTTCCTGATTTTTATTAGAAGTAGGGCTTAGAGGAAAACTGTAAATTACAGGTAGATATTTTGTATATGGAATGGTTTTGCAGCAGTCTTAGAAAATATGAAAGATGAAATTTGCCAGCTGGAAGACTAAGTAGTATTATATTTAAAAGAATTTGGAAACCTGCATGGCTAATCATATGAAATATGTTTATTGACGTATCTCATCCTAGTGATGACCCCCCCGGAAGAGGAGTAAGTGATCCATTTGTGAATGATCCTGTGTAACTCTAACAAGCAGATCATTGTTTAGCTAATAGCGTGTACTGGCAGAGATTTAGTTGAAGAGCAGCCCATTCATTCAGAAAATTGGGTTTGGATTTCACACACCAGCGTTTGAATTTCCCAGGTCTCCAATATTACCCCAGGCAGTTCAAGCTCGCTTCTGCCTTAAATGCTAATGCTAATAGTCAATGTAGAAAGTCTGGGCTTAAATGAGCAATTAGCTTTGGGAACTAGAGGAAGAAGGAAAGGATAGTTTGTGATCTTGTGAACCCTCGTTTCCTGCTACAGAACATTAGCCACAATAGATATACAGTGCTCACTTGTGTAGCTTCGTAACTGTGGGTTCAGGTTCAATGAGAAACAAATCTCACTAGATTGAAGGGGCAGATCTCTGGCAAGGGCTAGGGCATTCTAGCAAGACCCAAGGGAATGGACAGTGGCAGGGGAACGGGAGGCATTAGGCTTCTTTTTCTGCAACATACTAGGCTTTAGCCAAGATTAAAACGCAGGTGAACCGTTAGCTCCCCTCATGTTGTATCAATATCGCCTTGTGCTTAGAAATAGAAATAGTGCTCCTAGCAAAATGGCGGCTGTTGCCAATCCTATGAAGATTCATATACGGGAGGCATGGCCTGTATCACATAATTTCCTCTGCTGTTGTATGGTTTGAGAGGATTAATGGGGCTCTAGGTGCAGGTTAGGCTGTTAAGGATAATTTTTCCAGGCCCTGGCAGGCACACGGCGGTGGGCATTTGCCATACAGACTGCTATAATATTGGGGTGAGCGTCTAGTCCTGGGTAACGCTTGCAAAGAAAAGGATGAGACGCAACTACACTATTCCATAGAGATGCAAGAGGACATTCTAAAAGTTTGGGTAAATTCTTAGCAGAAAAGACTGAGAGTGGTTAGCAGCCATCCTTGGTTGTCAGAGAGAAACCAGTATAATCTACGAGGTGATTCGTAGCCTCATATATTTAAAGGTTTATTTTCTTCCCTCCCTGATAACCAGATCTTGCTTCAAAAGGAAGAATCTATTCCTAGCATCCCCCTTAGAAGTTAAACCAGTGCTTTCACACTGAGCAACATGCTGTAGAAATTCCCAGCACCAGGTCTCGTTCAATCCATCCCAAGGGGTACCTTCTCTGTCAAGAGTTTCATTTTGGGATCCTCAGTGAGTCTGGTTTTCTCTAACCTCATCAGAGAGTTCGTGGCAGGCAGGCAAATCCCACTAGGGCCCTAGTTGGGAGACTGGGCACTTGTTCTCACCTTCTGTTGGCGCAGGAGGGCTGGGGCCACAAACTCAGATAAATCTGGAGCAGTTCTAGGCGCTCAGACAATCACGGTGGCTTCGGGATGCCCTCCCTTGGTCTCTGCAAGGTCAGAGACAGGAGCAGGAGAGCCTGAGCCCAGACAGAGGTGGCGTCGGGCTCCCACTGAGCTCCTGGCTGCTTTCAGGGCGTGGCAGGCTCCCCGCAGCAGCAGCAGCAGAAAATTGAGGTTCTCTGTCCTCGCCTGGGGAACCCACCAGGATAGGAGGAGCCAGAGATTCTTCTAACTTCCAGCCGTGATGTCAGGTGCCGACAAAAATCATAAGGCTTGACTTTGGGGGTCTCTCATCTTCCATTTGGGGGCTCTCACGCTTAGGTGCTTTCTTCCATCTCAAACCTCAGCACCCCATGCAGCACCCCAATACTGAGGCACCCTTCTCATCTCACCAGGGGAATGTCAACAAGGCCTCCATTCTCAAAAAGATACTCCCCATCCTTCGAGATTTCTTTCCTCTTTCTCTCTGATCTCGTTCAAATTTACCCATCTTGTGTCCCAGGCCCTCAGAGCTCTTGTATCTAAGTAAGTTACTCATAAGTTAAAGCAGAGTTTCACAAAGAGCGTGTAAAAAATGAAGTCCTAAGTGATGTTAATGGCTGTTTTGCTCACACATACAGGCATAGACACACATACATTCCCATACACAAAATGGGAGGGGGGTCTGTGGTCTGGTCAAATAAATTAGGGGAATGCTGAGTAAACAGATTTAAACAGCTCTCTCTTCTGCAGAACTTCTCAGAGCCTTTGCGAGGCTCTGAGGGTCTAAGACAAGAGTCTAGAATGCAGCTGTTTTCTCCTACGGTTCTCCCAGCCAATAGCAAGACAGGCCACTTGGGAAAGAACTCTGAGCCCTGGTCCTCCCTTCCCTTCCCTGCATTCCTGAGAACAGTGTGGACTCAGACCGTGCAGGACCCTGCAGACCACTAGATGGGGTTGTTTCTCTGTAGCAGGTGAGGGGCTCCGCACTCACTATGACACAATAGCTACTAAGGCACCGCCTGGCCTTGGGTCACACATTCGTCAGGGATGCACAGTCTTAAAAGGTCAGATCTTGCCTGATTGGTACTGATCTACCACATACACAACATTTAGGACATTTTACTTTGTATTTAGTAGATTCACATCATATTGCTGGGTCTGATTTGGGTGAATTTTTTTGGTTCCGGTGTATTAAAAAATAGCTTCAGTAAATACAGGTCATACTTTAAGAAAACTTAGTATATAAAAACACAAATTAATAAAACATATAAGCTATGCATACTTCAGGGAATTTCTTTTCTTCGGATGGTGTATCATTAAACAATGGAAAATAGGGGGATGTTCAGCCTAGATGTTGGTCTTTAGATAGTTGAAGGCTGGTAGTGTAGAGAAAGATGTTGTGTTTGTCTGTTTATGTTGTGGTTGCAGCCAGCTTCATGTAACCAAGAATTCTGTACCAAGTAGAACTGTCCAACAAGGGAGGGTTGCCCTGTGGGTGAGTGAGCTGCCCATCCTGGGAAGTGTTGCCTCGGGCTAGATGGCCACCTATCAGGGTATTTTTGAGAAAGCTAGATTACAACACCCCCAGGTCCTTCACTAATGTCCTGTGACCCTACGAAAGAGCCAATACTTTCTTCAACTCTTCATAGTCTATTGGGAATTTCAAGTCCCTCAAGTGGAAAATTTGCTCTGCCTGGGCTGCTGGGCTGCTGGCTTGGAGGCTGCTATTCATTCGGGGTGTTTTTTGTATCACCAGATGGCACAAGATTTTAGGTATAAATGGGAGAGAACAACAAAACCACGTTTCGACTAATGCATCAGTAAAGCCTTCATTACAGAGAAAAGGCAATGCAGAAAAAATTAGGTATAAAGGGTTAGGTTAAAATATAATCTTGTTTACAATATTTGAACAAACCGGAAAGAGCTAGATTGTCACTTCCAGCTCTAATGTTTTAGGATGGAATTAATATTTATCCATACATATTGACTACATTGAGTATATTTTTACCACTTTGTATTCAGTGGTGCCATTTCTGGAGGGTTCCCCTGCCCTTTGTTAATCACTAAATAGCCAAGTCTTTGGAATCTTGCAAAGAGGGGAGGGGTGGGAATTAGGGTGATATTTCCCACTACGGAGAGAAAAGAGGCAGCTGGCTGGCTTATCATTCCCTTTCCACATGCAGCCTAGAGCCAAGAAAAATAATAATCATTGACAAGGTAAGTAACTATTTAGCAAGGAAGTATTTCTCCAGGTTTAGAATGAAATAGGATTGTCAGTTCAAGGTCAGGGGAGCCTCAGAAGTGTCCAACAACTTTTTACACACATTTTCTTGGTCCACCACCACCTCCAGCCCCACCATTAAGCCGAGACTGGGGAGGCGAGTGGGGTGACTTGGTGCTAATCATGATGAGACAAGATTTCCACTGGCTCTTGTTAGGATTCATATTCACATTCCCTAGAGGACGTGCTGGGCCCTCTGCAGGGCTGTACAAGGGAAACAAGGCTGGTTTCCAGTGATCTGCAACCAGTCTTTGGGATTTTACAGTGACTGTGACATTCTGACTTTCCCTGTTCTGTTTCATGCTGTCACCTGGCAGAGTGTGGGAACTACTGCCTCAATAGTAAGTACAGTAAGTCCTAGGAGAGACTGTGAAAGTGCTCTGGGTTTGTGCCATGGCAGACTCTGGCCAGGCCGCAGGCACACTGCAGGCCAACCACATGCACAGGGTAACTGGGGTAAGTGGTGTGGGACTCGGACATACCAACCAGGGTGGTGGGAATCCTCCCTCCAGAAGTGCCAGGCCTGAGAACACACTTGTCTCCCAGCTGGACCTCGGGAAATGCCTGGGCTCCTGAGCTAGGGGCTTAGCAGGCAGCTGGATGGGGCTCACACAGACCCCTTTGATGTTCCGCGTGCGGAGCTGATGTATGACAAGCACCTTCTGACTGTTTCAAAGAGTCCAGGCGAACCATGGCTTTTGGCCACAGGCCCACATCTATGGCCAATAACAGCTGCAACGGGCCCTGCCCGTGCCTCTCACCCTGGGCGTGAGCCAAACCCAGCAGGGACGCCTTGGTGATGTTTAGTTCTGGGAAGGACTCCTCCATCAGCTTAGATATTCCCCCCTTCTCCCTTCTCAGCACTAGTATCCTGAAACTTTGGGCCTGCCGTCCCAGCTGAGAGCTCCTTCACCTCCTGCATTTTTGCACTCTTATTTCCTTTCTCATCCTCCATTCTCGCCCTCTCAGTTCTATTTCTAGTCCTCTGGGTCCATTCTCTCCCTGCCTTGCCTCTTCCCTCCCCCTCTCCTTTCCCTGCCCGGGGCGCCTGTCCACCTGGCTCTCCTTTCTGTTCATGCCTTCTCCTCCTTCTCTGTGGCATTTCTTTCCCCCTCTTCCCACTCATCTTTCTACTCAGCTCTTGTCATTTTGCATCCCACTCATTTCCTCTGTCAACTTCCCTTCCTCTTCATCCCCTTTTCCTCCCACCCACTTTAACAATCCTTTAAAGCTTTCTTTTTCTTCCTTTGCTTTTCTTGTTTTCTTCCTTCCTTTCTTTTTTATGAAAAGATTTTGGGAACACGCCATGGGTGACCTGCCAACATAGGAACTTATACTTGGGGGCCCAATGTCATTGGGTTTTGGGGTTTGCTGTTATCTTTTTTTTTTTTTAATGTTTAGAAGTTAAGTTTAAACTCTCTTATTGTTCATAGTGTGAAATAACCATACATTTTCCCTCCTTAGAGAGAAGAGTCCTTAGTTCAATGTCTTCTTTGCAACAACCACGTATTTTTGTGAAACTATAACTCATTTCTTAAGCTTGTTTATTCTCTCTTGTTTTGCACATTTCTTTGACAATGAGATTCAGTCTACTTTTATTTCTTTAAACTGCCATTTCTGTGTCTTTCTAAAAAGGAAAGAGATATTGCTATTATCTCTTTAGTAGAAATCCCCTAAATTATCCCTAATTTGTAAATGCCAAACACAACTACTGAACCTAGTCTTTTGCTAGCTGTGTGGAAAAGGGTGATTCCACAGGAAAACAGTGATGAGAAATTGGGAAAAGAAGGAAATACCCTTCTAAAATATTGGAAAGTAAAAAGTGGGCTGAGGGCCAGAATTAAGGGGAGTCAATCTGGCTTATGGTCCATTGCTCTCTTAGCTGTATGATCTTGATGATTTCTGTGCCTCATTTTCATCTTCTATAAAATAGGAATAACCAACCCTGCCCTTCCCCCATACTCCCTGCTACTTCATGAGATTGTGGTGAAGATTTTGTGAAATATGACACTGGAAGGTGATTTGTAAAAACAAGAGTCGAAGCTTCATCTCTCCTACTTCTCCAATCTCTTGAGATCATGGCTGGGGGGGTGGGGTGGGGGGCTTCTGGGGCAGATTGGCTTCAAATAAAGAAATCCTGGTGGGCTTTGTTGGGGATTATTTTCTCAGCCTCCCTTGAAGAACATCTAGGGTTATCCCTAGCTGCTCCCCTCATGGCCCAAGACCTGCTCTTTGGCTTCCAAGAATAATTGGGTGCAGTTCAAGTTTCTGGTATTGCAAGGCCTTCTCAGTAGTGCTGAGGCCAATAACAGTGATGGCCATCCCCCAGGGAGGGGACAACAGGGAGACGCCAACTGCAGGCCATCAGGCCAGGCAGCTCTGAACCTGGACAAGGGTGTGTGCAGCCAAGAGGAAGCGGCTGACAAGTTGTTAAATGTCCTATTTCCAGGAGCTGGCTTTCTTTGTATTTTCCTGCCACGTGGTTGAGGGCTGGGGTCAAGAGAGCCACATATCATGTAACCTCCATTTTCTGTTCTGTCTCAGCGATCACAGAAGCCATTGAGATTCCGCAGTTTATCGGCCGCAGTTACCTGATATATGACAATCCAGATATCCTCAAGAGGTAATAAGTTTCAACAGGCACCTTCCTTAGATCTATGGGGGTAGATTTCTCAATATCTTTCCCAGGGCTTTTCCTTATCTTACAAGCCAGAAGATAATTCTCAAAGACAGCAGTTTAGCCATGGCCTCAGGAGAATAAAAACCACACAAAATAAACATGGAAACTAGAACAAAACAAAACATAAAAACAAACAAAACTTGAAAAATGCAGCCTTTCAAACAACTCTATTACAAACAACCCAAGTGCTTTCTGGTCAAAAGGCCTGGAGAGAGGAGTGTGCCTAGCCCTGGGGTTTCTAATATTTGGGCCTTGAGAAGCAGTGAGAACTTGATGCTCCCAAAGCCAAGGTTCTGAGTGTGATTCCCAGGCAGAGCTGTTAGCTTCCTGCTGTTCTGTGGCCAGAGTCTGCAGCTCTGCCCAGAGCCAGCAGGAGAAGGATTCTGGTGCTCTGTCAACCAGACAAACACCTCCAGGTCCATGTCCTACTTTGCATCTTCATCAACAAGGGTCCACCATCTTCTTCAGGCTCTGACCAGTTCTGTGAGGAGTTCCTCAACTCTCTTCATGTGGATACAAGAGCGTGGCACAAGGAGAAGCCCAAGTCACAGCCATGGCTTTTAATCCCTGGTCGCAGAAGCTCCAGCCCTGCACTGGAGTCCAAGCCCCTGGTTTGGATCAGCCTGTTTACATGACAATGCAAAGGCTGGCTCATCTTTGGCACTTTCAGTGTACCCCTTCTCTCTTTCTTTTCTCTCCCCTAGTTCTTTGTAGTTTATAGTGCACAATCCCCCACCCCACAGCCAGCATAATCATTCTAGAATTTTCCTTCCTCTTCAGGTTGACTGCATCTTAACAGATTAGCTAAGGCAAAGCTTTAAGCTAAAGGCACACCGTTTTTAGTGGAGTTGGGTGGCTTTTCAAAGAGAAAAAGTGGTCAAGAGACATTTTCCTGGAGCATTGGATGTCCCTATGTCCCTATGTAACTCTGAATGCACCCCAGACAGGCATCACTCCATTTCTCTAATCCCATGTTGTGTTTATCTAGGTTGTCTTGGCATGGGACCTTAGGAAAAATGGATTTCCAACCAAGAGAGACGCTCTTCCTTCTTCAGTCCTTTCTCCCCGAGGATGGAAGGACATTCAGCCCCCAGAAAGCAGGGACAGTGTGTGAGAGGCCCGAGTCCTCAGTCCCCTGGGGTTTAGTGAGAGGCACCGGCTGGTTTAGGGGAGTAGAGGGGGTTGGTGAGAGTAGGAGGCGTGGGGCCCCAAACCAGAGCAACTCAGATGGCACTTGTGTGCATGTGTGTATGTGCATGTATATATGCATGTGCGTGAAGCTGCAGGTGGAAGTCAAGTTCAGAGTCAGTTTTAGTTAGATGCCTTCGGCTGTAAGTAACGGAAAAGTCAGCTCAAAATGTCTTAAACATGAAGTGTATTTGTTATTTCATATAGTAAGCAATCCAGACTTAGACTGGCTCCTGGGTTGATTAATTCAGAGAATCAACTGTATCATCAAAGACCCAAGTCTCTTCCATCTTTCTGCCTTATTATCCTCAGCATATTCTCCAGAGGCCACTCCCTTCGTGATTATAAGACAGTTGTCCATAAGATCCTCATAAGATGGCTATAAATCAGGGCAATAAATCATCCAGTGGAAGTAAAAAAACTTTTTTTTCCCTCATGTGACTCAAAGGAAAGAATTCTTTTTCTGATCTGATTGGACAATGGTGGGTCACATGTCCATCCCTAAACCAATCACTGCAAGAGAAGTAGAACCATTTTGATTGGTTTATATCAATCAATGTATCTGAGGCATTGATTGGAAGGAAGGAACCTGGAACAAAAGATTGGGAAAAGCAGGTCTCTAGGGAATGGGCCAGGGCTGGATTGCTCTGCATCTGGCCTGGTGGAGAAGTCACCATCATGGACCCTAGTCCTCCTTCACCACTCTGAGCCCTGCATGAGGAAGGCAAACTTGGTCTCTTCCTGTCTATATTAGGCTCTGTGAAGCCTAGACAAAAGTCCCCCTCCACTGTTCACCACTCAATCCACTCTAGGAGAATGGAAATATGGCACTATAGTGCCATATTAGTAGCAATATTAAATTATGTTTACTCTAATCTCATCTGTTATTTAAGGACCTTATGCTTGCTCTTCTCCCCACATCACTTTGGTGAGACTGGATTTCTGAATTAGTCTATTCCCAAGAATTGATAAGAACACATAAGCATATGATCCTGTTCCCAGCCATGGCTGTAGGGGTGGGACCTGACTTGCCTGAGCACACCTCCTTTCCTCTTGGCTTCCTGTTCCTCTCCAGCCTGCCTCTGCCCCAACACCTCTCAAGACCATCATCCCATCAAGCCACCTTCTTTGGCTGACACTGTGCCCCCTGTCCAGTCACTCCTCCTGTGCCCTCAAGAACAGTCACCACCAGAGCTGGCCATCCACAGCCATGATCATAGCCCAGAGCAGCTGCCAACTTGAACCTCTCGGCAATTAAGAAACCCACTTTCTGTTGGGGAATGGGGAACACTTTCACAAGGACTTTTAAGTGGTAGGACAGGAAAGAGAGAAAACTGAGGTGTGTATTGGGGATGCAGCCTGGGACTGTGGCATTGGTTGGTGTCTGGCTAATCTGTGACTCAGCAAGAGCTCTCATGTGTGGTTTCACCACACTTGGAGAGGAAGACACTGCTGCAGAATGATCAGTCCAGACTTCTAGACCCATGATGGTGATGCCATTTCTAATCTCCTGGTAATAAGTGTCAGAAATGCCAGATTATCCTTAGACCTGGCTTCTCAGGGCTGGAAGAAGAAACTGGGATTACTTAGCAATGGATGTTGGTGGATACTGGTTGATTTGGTGCAACTGTTTGTGTATTTCCTCTAGGGTGTCAGGATCAAGATCAAATGCATTCATGAGGTTTAAGACAACTGCCAAAGATGGCCTGTTGATGTGGAGAGGAGACAGCCCCATGAGGCCCAACAGTGACTTCATTTCCTTGGGCCTTCGGGATGGAGCCCTGGTGTTCAGGTAACCACCTCACCAGCTGCTGTCAGCATCACCTTGTGATTTTTCTCAAACAATGCACATCATGCCAAATGAGAGTGAAGTAAACGTGATCCGGGACACAGTCTACTGGAATAGACTGTTGCCTGAAGCTCCAGGCTTATTTGAGCTTCCTGGTCTTTCTTTCCAACTTCCATCTTCTAGAGCAGCCATCAGCAAACTACATACAGCCTGAGGGGCAAATCCGGCCCACCACCCATTTTTGTAGGTGATGTTTTATTGGAATTCTGCCATACTCATTCATTTACCATGGATGGCACGCTTGAGTAGTTTCAATAGGGACTCTATGGCCAAGCCTAAAATATTTATTATCTGGCCCTTTACAGAACAATTTTGTGACCCCCGTTCTAGGATGTCACTGCCACATGCTCCCAACTTGAAAATTAGGAAGTAGTAGAAAGAGGACTCGGATGCTGCCAAGCATGGATGTGAGTACACAGCTCAGTGCTCACCAGCTCAGGTAGATCTGAAGATCTAATCTCCTGACTCTAAATTCTGACTCCGCTCCCTATTAGCCTTGGGAAGGAGCATGCCTGCTTTCCAATCTCTCACTGCAAAGAAGAACAAAGCACAGATTCATGTCTCAGTAGATCAACCCAAGATTTGGATTGTTGTAAATGCTTCTTCGGCGATACTGACAAGGCAGTCCTGGAAGTTCTTACCTCTTTTAAGTCAATTTAGCCTGTTCTCAAATTTGTCACATGAGTAGCTATGAAATAGCTAACAGATTACCTGGACAGCTTCTCCCCACCAGAATGGATGAGAGCAAGGTTCCCACAGGGCAGGGAGGAGCTTGTGTAATATGAGAAAGCTTCTCTAGAGATTGTGATGACACATCCTCACTTGAGGTTGGAAATAACTCATCTAGATCAGTGATTCTCAAAGTGCGGTCCCTGGACCAGCAGCATTAGCATCACCTGGGAACTTGTTAGAAATGCAAATTCTGAGGCCCCATCCCTGACCTACTGAACCAGGAAAACTAGGAGTGGGGCCCAGCAATCTTGTTTTAACCGTTTCTCCAGGCGATTCTGATGCCTACTAAGGTTTGAAACCCCTCCTCAGTCTCTAGACCATCTGCCCCATGGGGGCAGGAATTTCTCTGGGCTTTTCCTTCTCTAATCCCCCCTCTGGTGACTAGCACAAGTGTTCACTAAATGATATGGAATTAATTGGAAGTGAAATAGACATAGGCGAGTTAACGGAACTACAGAGAAGATGAAGACTTAATTCTGGGGCTTCCATGGGCCATGCACTGGGATTAGTGACAGCCAGAGTAGGATAATGTAAGTCTTTTCACTTTGAATAAAAGGCATTTTGAGAGGAAATGTCACTTGTCCAACATCACGCTTGCCCCTAAATAGCAGAGCGTGCTAAGGGATGCGATCCTACGGTTGTTGGGAATTTTGTGAGACATGTGTGGTTGAAGGCTGGAGGCTGGCCCTGAGCGCAGCTCTCACTCTCTCCCCCCTTTCCTCCCCTGGCCCCAAGGTCAAATGCAGAGCTCTTCACACCCCAGTTTTGAGCTGGCTGCCGCGAAGCCATTTTCTTGTGGTTTTCCTGTGGTTAACCTCGCCAAGGCCTCAAGTACTTGATTGTGCCCAGAAAAGGGAACTGAAACAGTAGCTCAGCTGTGGGTGGGAGGCCCAACTTCCCCCCTAAACCGCCAGCTAAACCTATTCACCACCCACCCCAGCCGGACAGGGAAACTCGATCTGCCCAGGGCCGCCCCACAGCTCCCACTGGCTCTCACACCTAGCCCTGGCCAGCCCCCCGGTTGCCCCCCATCTTCCCACACCTCCTGGATGCCCTTCTAACAACTCCACTCCATCTAGGACATATTTCTTATGTTACTATTTCTTTCTCAGGTTTCTGACAGTTGGCCCCGTGTTTTTCTTTTAAGCCTGGAGTTCTGGTTGTGTTCTGTGTAAAGGATGCACTGTTTAGCCCACGCCAGGCAGACATCTGTGCCCATCCCAGGCCTGGAGCCATGGTGTTTCTGCTCTGCTGTACTTCCTTCCTCTGGGCAGTAACCCCACATCCATTCACCCAATCCAGATGTATGGAAGCGCTGCAGAAGGCTGGGTGTAGAGAGGAGTTGGAGTGTAGGCCAGTGGTTTGAAAATGTCAGCAGACAGAGAGTCAGTTCGGGGGGGCGCTTGTTTCAGAGGTAAATTGCCGGGCCCACCCCCAGAGATTCTGATGGAGTAGGTCTGGGAGGGTGCCAGAATTTGATTGGAAACAATCAGGAACCGCGCACTGAGAAACATGGCCCAAAGTGGTCAAAAGCTTGGGCTTCCAAGTCAGACATGTGAGATTCCCACAGCCATGTGATCTCCTGCAAGTTACTCAACTTCTCCATGAAAGGAAAGGGTTAGTTGTGAGCACTGAATGAATGAATTCACGTAAAGCGCTTAGTGCAGGGCCTGGCATATCTAGTTATTAGTGATAACAATTATCAAAATTATTATTCTTGATCAAGTGTGTTCTGTATTCTAAAAACCCCTGCCTTAGATCAATGACATATGTAAGGAAGTGAGCACAATACTGGGTCATAAAATTTAGCTATAATTATTGTTACTGTTATTATTTTTAATAAGACATAGGTCCTGCCCTTCAGCAGCTTACATCAGTGGAACCTAGAGAGTGATCTGGTCTATTAGGGGGCTGAGACATTTTTTAAGTTTTGTTGTTTGATCCAGGTCCAAACAAACAATAGGAAATGGAAGATAATAAAATATATTCTCAACTGTCTTGAGTTTCTTCCTTCGTCTAAATGCTAATCCTTTTCCTAATTTAGTGGGCGAAGCCCTTCTGCCAGAGAATAAGGAAGATCAACAGAACTCTAAATAAAAATTATTTTTCGTTTTGGTGCAAGTTTGAGTAGAAGAAAGGCAATCAAAGTGCTCAGCTAAGAGCGTGGTCTTTTATTTTCTGTTTTGTCTTGTTTGTTTTATTGTTATATGTGGGGCATAGAACCCAATGAGCAGGTTTGTGAAAATCACTCGACTGACGATCTTATCCACTGATTTTCCATGTGACCTTGATAACATTTTCATACAACAGAGAAGGGAGAGATCTGACATTAGCAAGTTGCCCTGTGGTACAGTTTAAAGGAGGCTCCACGAAGAAGTGTCACCACCTGGAGACAGCCTAGTGGCTTCCAAAAGGCCTCACCTGATGGCATTTCCTGGTGGTCTACCCTGGTGCTCTCCCTCATAGCCTTTCATGCAAGCTAAGATGATTAGGTGAACTTGGACCAGGATACCCGATTCGTGCCAACCAGATTCACAAGACATTGATAGAGATACCAGACGTGCATTCATTTGTTCATTCATTCATATGTTTTTATTCTTTTAATTGAGGTATAATTTACATAAAGTACACAAATGTTAGGTGTATAGCTTAATAAATTTTTAAACATGTAAATACCTGTGTAACCATCACCTAGATATAGAACATTTCCTACACCCAAAAAGGCTCCCTCATGCCCTCTCCCAATGAAGGTAACCCACTATTCTTGGTCATTTATTATTATATAAAAGAAACAGATATCCCAGGGTGAAGTAGCAGGGCATCTGGGGAAGTAGGAGGTTATTTGGAGGGTCTGAAATCAGATAGAGTCGGGGGCAGGAGTTGGAAAGTCAGGCCACGGAGATGCCAACTGACTCACCCCTGTGCCCCATCAACATTAATGGCTGGATTCCTGTCTGCTAGATCCACTGTTGACTCCCTTGAGCGCATTCTGGCTCTTTGCATGAACAGGCACTTTATCAGGCTGGAGAACAAAAGAGAGGAAAGCCCTTCCTTTGTCCAAACACAACTTAAAAGGTTTCCATTCACTGGATTACAATCACATTCCAGTCTAGCGTCCCCGTGATTATACCCAGCTCACCTTGATTCTGAGATCTGGGTGTCCTGACCTTTTTGGTTACATATTTACAGCCTGTTGGTTTACTCTCACACATGACTACCCTTCCAGGAGAGGCTTGATGAGTTTAACTCCTGGTGGCAACTCTCTCCTTACTGCTAGTTCCCCAGGATATATTGTCAACCCTGTATACGAGCTGCATTAAGTACTGCATATATTTAAGATGGTGGAATTATTTGTTTTGTTCCCACTATGTGCTGTGCTCTTTCCTTACGTTATCTTACTTAGTATTCCCTATAGGAGAGGTATTATTACCCCCATTTGACAGATGAGGAAACTTAGACTCAGGGAGGTGAAGCAAATTGCCCAAGGTCACAACACTAGTAATCGGCAAGACTGGAAATCAAGGCAGGTTAGTCCAATCCAAGTGTCCACGCTCTTTCTATTGCCCTGTGCTGCCTCTCATGAAAGCCACACGTGGTAATTCAGCTAAGTTTCTGCCAACCAGCTCACAGCCCTGCTTCATATTCATACATTTCTTCTGTAAGCATTTGGCCACTAATTAATGAAATCTGAAAATTCCACCTCCAGGCTGTTTCATAAAAGGAGACACTTGATGTGGGAAAATTCGTTAGGAAACAGTGGATTTTTCAGGGTCAGAGTGACAGCTTTGTCTCATGGCTTGTCGAGTCACCCATGTTCTATTTTTGGTTCAATGTCGATATGGGCTGTGTGACTTCTTTGAGCCTCCATTATCAAAGAAAGGACCCATAGTGCTTTCCCTGGGGAAAGACCAGCGCTTTCTATTCTTGCTCTTTTCCCAGACTGAGTGCAAGAGCTCAGTAGCTAATCCAGGTTTCCTCTTGGCATTCCCATTTCTTGGCCAATGAGGTAAAGGAGAGACATGTCCTCTTAAAAGATGAGGAGAGAACTGTCCTGGGTGGAGCAGTTTTTCCTTCAAAAGCATGATTACATTGGCTTTATTATATTATCAAGGGGAGGTCTAGGCCGTTGGCCCAGTGCCTGACCTAGAGTAGTCACTCACTAAATATTTGTTGAATTGAATTAAATTAGAATAATTGAATGAACACTGACTAAGAGGGATATTTCTCTCTGGTAAACAACATGTGTATGTCTTCTGATACCCTTAGGGTATCAGGGTATCTGTAAACTGAAATAGAAAATAGACAGCTGCTGAGTGACCTGGTATCAGAGTAAAATGAGGGGAGGGGAAGATAAGATGCCAAGTTCAAGTCCTGTACATTAGCTTTGGGATTTAGGCAAATTCCCTTAATCTCTTTGGGGCTCGGCCTACTCTGCAATGTTCTGTTTTGTTTTTTAAAAAGTGAAAACACATGTATTAGTTTCCAGGGGCTGCCATAACAAAACACAAATTGGGTGACTTAAAACAATAGAAATTTCTTTTCTCACAGTTCTGGAGCCTAGGAGTCCAATGTGCAGGTTTTGGCCAGGTGGGTTCCTTCTGGGGGCTCTGAGGGCGAATCTGTTCTGTGCCTCTCTCCTAGGTCCTGGTGGTTGTTGGCAATCCTTGGTGTTCCTTGGCTTGTAGAGGCATCACTTCAATCCCTGCCTTCATCTTCATATGGCATTCTTCCCTATGTGTCTCTGTCTCTGTGTCCAAATTTCCTCTTTTTATAAGGACACCAGTCATATTGGATTTAGGGTCACCCTAATCCATATGACTTCACCTTAGCTAATTACATCTGCAAAAACCCTATTTCCAAATAAGGTCACATTCTGGGGTTCTGGGTTCACATGAATTTTGAGGGGACACTATTCAACCTAGTACAACATATTACAAATAATAAAGCCCTTCTTGTTCCTGATCCTATAGTAATGATGCTTCTATACATAGTGCTTAAAAATAATCATCCTTGAGGACACTATGCTAAGTGAAATAAGCCAGTCACAAAGAGACAAATGCTGTATGATTCTACGTATCTGAGGTACCTAGAGTAGTCAGATTCATAGAGACAGAAAGTAGAGTGGTGGTTGCCGGGGCTGGGGATGAGGGAATGTGGAGTTGTTTACGGGATACAGAGTTTCAGTTTTGCAAGATAAAAAGAGTTCTGGAGATTGCTTGTATAACAATGTGAAAGTACTTAACGCTACTGAACTGTACACTTAAAAATAGTTAAGATGGTGAATTTTGTTATGTATATTTTACCACAATTAAAAATTTAAAAGACCTATCATTCATGGCCTATCCTGGAAACCTAATGCCTTTTATAACATTGTTTTGTTTTGAGTTAAGGAATCTATATTTTGAGTTCCAAAGAACTTTTGCAATGAGAAGCATTTGTGGAGGACTGTCTCCCTGTGCTTCGGTGCTTTATTCTGTTCTCTTCCTTGGTCTTCTCTGATGCCTTTAGCTACAATCTGGGCAGTGGTGTGGCATCCATCATGGTGAACGGCTCCTTCAATGATGGTCGGTGGCACCGAGTCAAGGCTGTTAGGTGAGTACCTACCACACAACGTGAGACAGAGCAGGAGCTCAGCAGAGGTGGCGTATGCTCTCCAATTCCCTGTAGTCCCACTGTCCTGTTCCCCAACCTTGCCTGGCTCCCAATACTGCTGATCTGGGTCATTCAGAGCATTTTGCTACCAACTCCCACCTGTGTTCTTCACAAACTCTGACAGATCAGAGAAGCTGAATTCTCAAATCTTCACTCAACAGCCACCTTCTGGAGAAAGAACTTTTTTTTTCTTTTTTTGTTTTGGTGAGGAGGATTCACCCTGAGCTAACATCCATTGCCAATCTTCCTCTTTTTGCTTGAGGAAGATTGTCCCTGAGCTCACATCTGTACCAGTCTTCCTCTGTTTTGTATATGGGACGCCGCTACAGCATGGCTTGACGAGTGGGGCATAGGTTCTTGCCCGGGATCCGAACCTGTAAACCCTGGGCCACTGCAGTGGAGCACGTGAACCGAACCACTACACCACTGGGCCAGCCCCAAGAAAGAATTTTTTGATGGCTAAACTGGAAGAGGGCTCCACTATCTAGTGAGAACTAGATCTCTCTAGTGAGATACGATATCAGGGCATGTGGACTTTGAGGAATGCTTCAAATCTCATTACGTAGGCAATTGCCCTTTTTTTTTTTTTTTTTGAAGTTACATTACCTGAACCCTAGAAGCTGTGTGTACCCTGTGCCAATTACATATCTCCTCTCTCACAGAGGCCACTACCCTGACTTTTGATTAACTTTGGGTGAATCATTCCCTTAAAATTATAGGTTTACCACCTATGTCCATATTCCTAATGATATGTTTTGAGAAACTGAATAGCAGGCTCCAACTTAGCTGTATAAAGAAATGTCAATCCTGCCATGTTAGATAAGTTTCTGGGAGATGAGCTGAACAGAATCTTTGGTTTGGGTTCCCTTAGAATTTACCATAGCCCTTTCTGGGGAGGTCAGTGGGTGAGGACATGAGTGAGGCTTGGGAAAGATGGGGCTACCATGGTCAGTTTCCTACTCAGTTCACACACAGGCTGTGGTGGGAGTAGCCTTGCTGGACCCCACCTTCCTGTCCACTGTGCCTGCCTTGATACCCAAAAGGTTGTGTGAGGATACAGAGGCAGATCTGTGCCCATCAGCTGCCCAGGTGGCCAAGAAAGCCCTTGAGGCAGATAGTGATTTTGATGAAGCCCCAACTCTGATTTGTTGAAAAAAGAAATGTCTTCCCATAGTGAATATTTACAGCCTTCATCTCAAATATACTCTAAGTTAAAATGTTCATAGTTCAACTCAACTCCAAGATACCCCAAACTATGTGGCTTCTAAGTTCTTCATTTCTCTCTCTTACTCATCTATTAAAGGGCTGTCTCAGAAAGAGCCAAAGGAATATGAAATGCTTGACCACACTTGATCCTTATAACTCCCATCTGCGAACATCAGGGAACACCTGTTCTCAATTTTCTTGAATAGGGAAGCTTGGTAGAACACTCAGACATTGTGGAAGGATTTTTAAACCCTCAAAATTGCTGTGGTTTGATTATGCGCATCGAGATACACATTGGTGGGGATTCCAGGCACTTCCTAGATATCTAAGGAAACAGATGTTAAGTGACTTTCCCAAGACTATACAATGGTTTGTAGGCAGAGTCAAGATTAGACTTGTAGATCAAAGCTGTTTCCATCCCACCCCTTGATGCAGCCCACCCAAGCTAGGATTTCAGGTGTTTTGGAAGAATAAGACAGGGTATATTCCACCAGAAGAACTTCAGACGTCAGGGCATCAAGCTTGGCACCATGAGAATGGTTTAGCAGATGTGGCTCTTACTATTGTCATCATTGATATCTCTCCTAGTGGGTCTTAGATTGCAGTGGGGTGGGGGGGCCAGCCCGGTAGCGCAAGCGGTTAAGTGCGTGCGCTCCGCTGCGGCGGCCCGGGGTTCGCTGGTTCGGATCCTGGGCGCGCACCAACACACCACTTGTCAAGCCATGCTGTGGCGGCGTCCCATATAAAGTGGAGGAAGATGGGCATGGATGTTAGCCCAGGGCCGATCTTCCTCAGCAAAAAGAGGAGGATTGGCAGATGTTAGCTCAGGGCCCATCTTCCTCACCGAAAAAAAAAAAAAAAAAAAAAAGATTGCAGTGGGGGCTGAACAGAGGAACTGAGACCAGGAACTGGATAGATGGGAGGATTCAAGCAGATACTGTGAGTTGTGTTCCAGAGGAGCAGACAGGCTTAGAAAGGATGGTACAACAGATCTAAGCAGGGGCTGGGTCAAGGCCATGGATATAAACTATGGCAAGAAGAGTTGGATAGATACCTTAATTCTCTGCAGCAGGCTCCAGGGTCAGAGATAGGGGAATCGATGAAGAGGAAATCTCCAAGGGGAGCCCTACTTTGTACATTGCCTTGCTCTGAATAACCCTGGTCTTGCAGGCATTAATCCTAGCAGAAAAGAGAAAGGAAATCCTCATTTATTAAGCATCTTCAGGATGCCAGGTACTTTACATACTTTATCTCAGTTAATATGCACAGCAACTTAAGTTTTATAATCTTCATTTTGTAGATGAGAATGATGATGAAGTCAATAACAATAATACCACTCTATGTATCACGTACCATGCTCTGTGCTTTGCCTGCGTAGTCTCTGATCTCCACAATAGCCTTGGAAAATGGGCGTATTTTTTCCCATTTAAGATGAGGACGTTGAAGCTCCACAAATTTGCTTGTTCATTCATCTACTACTATGAGCCATATACTATTCCACACACATGAGATACATCATTGAATAGTACCAGCATCCTTGCCTTGATGGTCTTGCATACTAAGGGGAGGCAATAGACAATAAGTGAAGAACTACATTACTTACTATGTTAGAAAGTGATACTAGGTTTTTTTCACATCTAAGATGCCATTGATTATAAGTTATATCCTATTCCTATATCCTATTTCCTATAGCCTACATTTCAGAGATATAAAAAGTGGAAAATTCTTAGAATTGATGAAATAAAGTGGGGAAAAATAGAAATTTTTTAGAATAATAGGGAAAAAAAAGTCAGGGCAGACAAGGAACGCTATTGAGGGCCTTGTCCAGCACAGCATTCAGGTATGTGATTCTAAAAAAGCTTATCCAAAATGGGGAGGCAGTGTGTGGTCTTGAGGGTGAGGACAGAACAGGAGAAATATTTCCAAAGTGAGTTGCTAGAAGAGTTGCTATCAAGATGTGAGGCCCAGGCAACCACATTTATATCATTGTACCCCCCCCAAAAAAAAAGAGGTGGAGTCAGGAACCTCTGGAAGGTGAATGAGGGGCTAAAAGCAGGAAGATTGGTTTAAAAAATTTACTTGACGAATTAGAACTCAAGTAATTACTTCACTACTTCGTATAGCTGGCACACTACCCTTTCCCTACCCATGGAAAAGTAATGGAAGTCAAGTCTCTGGAGAAAGTGAAATGGGGGTCTCTGGAGTGGGAGATACTAAGTTTAACTAAATACTGGACTACCATATCCTGTGTAAATTAACATTGGGGACTATGTCCAAGTTCATATGTTGAATATTAAGAACCCCATAATTCTTCCCCCATTGAGATTCAGAATGCTGGCAGCCAAGCCTATACCCCTCAGTAGGGAGAGTGGAAAATTCGGGTGTCCCCAAGGAAATGATTGAGCCAGATCACAGCACTATGAAGCCACAGTCAACAAAACCCATCCTGCACACAGAGCTTCTAATCTGCTTTTTAGTGTTCAAAACTGAACTATGAAGTGGCCGTCAGGGATCACTACGCATTTGAAAAAAGTCTCCAATATAAAAGATGGGTATCAGAACAAATAAACAGAACAAAACAACTTGGAGGAAACAGAGACTATGAATGAAAAAATGATTTAACATTAATATCGTCAGAGAGAGGTTATTAATCCAAGAAACAAGAAGTTTGCTCTGAAAAAAAGGAACATTAAGAGACCCATTAAAAACAAAAGTGTGCATGGGTTGGAATACTCCAATAGCTATAGAATCAGATGTACTTTTTTGAAGAAGGTTCCTGGGGCTGGATAGTTTTGGAAACCAAAGCCCTCAGGGCCGGCCTAGTGGCGTAGTGGTTAAGTTCAGCACATTCCGCTTCAGCGGCCCGAGTTTGCAGGTTTGGATCCTGGGCATGGACCTACACTTGTCAGCCACGCTGTGGCAGCGACCCATATATAAAGTAAAAGATTGGCACAGATGTTAGCTCAGGGCTGATCTTTCTCAGCAAAAAAAAAAAAAAAAATTACAAAGCCCTTGCCACAGAGAAACACCTCCACTCCACTGTTCTCCAAGTGGGTCCTTGAGAAACTTCTAAGCCCTTCTTTGTCCTCCCCTAGAGTAACCATCTGCCTATGAAAACTGCTTCATTGGCTTCCCATTGTGTCTGGAGTAACATCCAAATTCACTATGTGTCACCATGTCACCACCACTCCTCACCTTAAAGTTCTTCTCTGGTTCCCTCTCACCTTCAGGATAAATTCTAACTAAGCTCATTATGCCTTTCACCATCTGCTTCTGGCTTCATCTTTCACCACCCTACTCCCACCTCCAGAATCCTCTATGCTCAGTCTATACCAATCCTCTTGTCTTTTCTCTCTTTGCCATTGCCACTTCCTGTTTGCCTTAGCCTTCTCCTTCACTTGACCCACTCTGCCTTCAAAACTCCTCTCAAACAGAATCTCCTTTGAGAAGCTTTCCCTGACCCTCCGTCCTCCTCCTGTGTAATTCCACAGCACTCCGGCATTCTTCTGCCGTAGCGTGGTGACACTGTGTTGTTATTTACAATTTGATTTTTTGTCTGCCTCAGTAGACCATAAACTCCTGCAGGCCAGGAATTTGTTATTTTTTTTCATTTTTCCAGCTCCATCATTCAGCGTAGTGCCTGGTGCACAGTAGGTATTTAATACATTTTTATTAAAATGAATGAACGATTGAATGAAGCTCCAAAAATGGTGGTGGTTTTCACAGGGATGGCCAATCGGGAAAGATAACTGTGGATGACTATGGGGCCAGAACAGGCAAATCACCTGGCATGATGAGGCAGCTCAACATCAATGGAGCTCTGTATGTGGGTAAGTGACCGTTGACCAAATCTAAATTATACAATGCTTTTTCTTGTTAGTCCTCCGTTTTTCATGCTTGGGCTCCCCAAAGCCGTGTACTTCCCTGGAACAGTCAAATACTTGGACATCAGGAAGCTCTCCAGATACTCTATTCTTTCATTTTCTGAACTTCTGACTCATGGCTGAGGGGGCAGGAAGCACTTAGATGCTTTTGTGCTTTGGACTGATCCACCAGGAAAACCATGCTTTTCTTGTTTATAGAACAGGAACCCGCTAAATATAGCTCCACGAATTCTCCCTGAGGAAGGAGGATCCGTCTTTCTGGCCTCTCTCAGAATTAGAATGAGTGGTATTTCTGTAAATAGCTTAGAACCTGCTAGTGCAGACACATAAACATAAAAAGATATCTCTATCCCTATGATATCTTCTAAAAATTAACTTAATTGAAAGCATTCAACATCAGTGTATTCCTTTTGGTTTAAGATGACATCGCCTCTAACTACATATTACATTTTGTTGACATTACACAACATTTCAAAATTTACCAGATCCTTTTTGGTTTTAAGTGGTCAGTAGGGTCAGAAATCACACACATAACGTGGGGATTTGTAGCCTCTGGTTGTGTATCAAATTGATCAAAGTCAACCTGTTCCTTCAAGGATAATTATAATTTAAGACAGATGCGATGTACTGAGAAGTTTGAGGGACCCGCAGCCATCACTGGTCCTATCAGCCAAAGGACACCTTAGTCAATAGAAACTCAAGTGTCCTAAAGAGACATTCTCCCCTTTGGCTCACCCCGTCTCCCTCTTGCTTCCTGGCAGGTGGAATGAAGGAAATTGCTCTGCATACTAACAGGCAGTACATGCGAGGCCTCGTGGGCTGCATCTCTCATTTCACCCTGTCCACCGATTACCACATTTCCCTTGTGGAAGATGCCGTGGATGGGAAAAACATCAACACTTGTGGAGCCAAGTAACACCAGCTGGCCTTGCCCAAGGGACAGAGCCTTCTATCCTGAGAATCCTGGGGGCCCCGAGACCCTGCCTGATGCCATACACAGAGGCACGGGGACCAGGTGTGTTTCCTCTCATCAAGGAGAAAGTACACCCTGATGAGAAACCAGAACCAAGATAGGAGTCCCGTGTGGCCTTTCCTGCTGACACTCTGTGGGCCAAACCCAATGGAATACTCTGTGTAGCAAGCATCGGACTTTGTCCATTGAATGTGTAGTGGCTGCCAGAGATCACACATCAATGCAAATTCCAGAGCCTGTCTGCTGTAGCTCAATGACTATGGTGTGATTCATAGTGCATAAAAAAAGAAAGGAAAAAAAAAAGAGAGAGAGACCCAAAGGGCAGCATTAAAATACTTTTCTCCTTCCCTGACTCATGACACACTTACTGACAACGGAATGACTGTGTGACCTTAAACTTCGAATTTCCCACCTTGGCCCATGAATTATTAGGATTAACCCCTTCCACGCCTCACTGGCTGGTTCAATGTGCTCTGATGATTCCATGAAAATAAGGAAGAGGGGAGACTAGACATAGAATCATAATCATAATCCTGCCCCCCTAAAGTTGACCTTTAATGAGAAGTCCCTACTTTTTATAATGCAAATCTAAGAAAATGGACGCCCTGATTTTGTAGCTGTCCTTTTGTATGTGTATATTTTTATAGCTGCAGGTTGTCCACACAGTATACTTTTGCAAGTTTGGGTGGACGACCCTGAATTCTTTGCACACTTCCTAAAAATTTTCTCCCAGATGAGACTTGTTCAGGCCCTTTGTGGCATCAGTGGAATGGGATAGGTAATTTGGGGTGGGCACCTTAGAGAGATGACCATTCTTTTTCTGTAAATGTTGATGGCTCTAGGAGATGAATATGAAGCTTCCAAAATAAGCAGATTAAAAGGCACATGTGTTACTGGGGTGGGTCACTGTCATTTTTGTTTTAAGACAGGGGAGTGTCTGTAGTAAACTTGAATAAAGAAGATGAAGAAGGCTAGAACTCATTCATTTAGTCAGTCATTCATTCATTTGTGGAGGTGTTACTGATCCTTGCAGAGGCCATGTCCAGAAATAGACACTAAGGCTGTGCTGGGGGTGGCCTCAGCATGGCCTGAACATCTGGGCAAGAACCAGGGAAGAAGGGCTGCTTCCTTTTGAGCCATCCGCTGTGCCCCTTTGCTGTTCACGTGTGTGACCCTGGAGACAGCTGGCTCACTGGCAGATCCCCATGGCAGGACTTGCTAAGGGAAGGATGAGATGAACGCTGCCCTCAAAGAGGAGGGAAATACGATCCAACTCACACAAGAAAGAGCCTATAATTAGTCCCACTCATGACTCTGCTCTTGTTTGTGCGGCATTTATTCAGCGAAGACTTTGAGCTTTGTGCAAAGCAGTTTTAGGTACATTAAGAATTCTAAAAAATGAATAAATAAGCTGGAGACATTCACTTTGTGCTTCAACCTTCTGCTTCCTGTCTGTGGAACCCTTTGATGACCAGGATCCTTCCTACTAGAAATAACGGCAATAACAACAATAACAGCAATAATAATTCATCTTCTTCTACATATGTCACCTTGTGAGTACACTTTGGAGAAAGCCACATGGTAGAGAGTAGGTTTTCCACCTCCCAACCACCTCACATCAACACCTTTTCTTTGGAGACTGCTAGGGCCAGTGGTTCCCAAGGTATAATGGAGTTGCTTTCATAGCACATTTTGAATCAGTTGCCTCCAGCCAAAAAAAGTCATTGTGATTTTAGCAAAATATCCAGCTGAGCTGAAGCCAGAAGAGTTGTCTTGTAGATGAACTATTGTTCCATATAAGTGTTATCCAGAGAAAAATGCAGTGACCCGGGGATGGGGGCCTGGGAGTGTATGTTGAAGTTGATGAGGATTCTGAACTGCTTTCCTTTAGGTGGGATGCAGAAGGGGCTAGAAGGGGAGGGGTGACACCATGATGGATTCAGAACAGCAGAGTCGGGGAACCGGAGAGGAGCTGATCACAGGGGAGGCTCAGGGTAGGAGAAGAGGGTAAGAGACAGAATATTCCAAGCAAGGAGCAAGGCTCTTTCACCCTTTCCGTGGACAAAAATCAGAAGATGTGGGATCAGTTTATAGCAGAGGTGGTTGTGAGGATAAAAACTTTGTCCTGAAGCTGAGGGATTAGACCTGTGTTCAGATGGGCAAGAGAGCTGAGAAGAGCTCAGCCTGGATTTGTGGATCCCCCAGCTTTCTCTCTAAGTGTATCTGCTATCTGTTGCCATAATAATGCTGCGTGACAACCAACCACAAAACCTCAGTGGCATACCGCAATAAGTAGTTATTGCTTCCACGCCTTGAGGGGTTGGCTTGGCAGCTCTGCTGATCTTGGCTGGGCTTGACTAGGTGGTTCTTCTGGTCTCAGCTGGACTTGTTCACGTGTATAGGGATTGGCTAATTTAGGATGGCCTTGGCTGGGATGGTGAGGTGACTGGAGTCTGCTCCATGTGGCTCTCATCCTCCTCCTGGGACCACTGGGCTAGGCTGACATGCTCTTCACGTGACGATGGAGGAGGGCAAGAGCACTAGAGTAAAGGCATAAGGCTTACTGCAGGCTGGGTTTGGAACTGCCAAGAGATGAAGAAATTCATTAAAGAGATGGAGTAATAGACTGCACCTCCATAGTAAGAGGAACTATTAGGTCACCTGGAAAAGAGCATGGATTCAGGAAGGGTGAAAAATCAGGGCCATTCGTGCAATCAACCCACCACAGCAAGTCAGATGCTGTTGAGAGAAGTGGCACAACAGGGATGAGGTGGGCCCTGACGATAGTTCTTCTGCAGGGACCCTTGGGCTTGGGGACGGGTTCTGTGAAGTTCTCAGGGACTGGCCCAGCCAGGCCAGGCCCGATGGGGCAGGATTTGACCCTCCTGCAGCCTCGCCTGTGGCACCCCTGTTCTCCCTCATTCTTCCACCTGTTGCCGGACAGTTGGCAGCCGTGTTGTTATTCCGAGGAGGAGGGACTAGCAGGGGGATGGGATCTGTGCCATGGCTTTTGGGTAGCGGCTCTGTTGAGAGGCGTGTCGGAGAAGCTGGCTGGGCTCTTGGCTCCAGAGAGAGGTTTGAGGAGTAGCCAGGGAGCTTGGAGGTTAACGCAATCCCTGTCCTGCCCAGGAAGGATATCATGAAGCATGGGTTCCTGAAAAGCTTTTGTCCCACAATCAGGATCTGAGAAAATTCCCCAGAACTCCCCATGTGTTCTAAGAAAGGATGGCTAGGGGTGGGGTGAAGGAACGGCATGTTCTTGCTTTTCCTATTAAAACTTTCACAACCCCATATGTTTCCTCTAAGCCCAATGGTGGGGTTTCTCTCAGGAAGGCCTATGGGGTCTTCTTTGTCCCCACACTGCCCCAGAACCCTGTGAAGCGGCAGTTTGATGACCCCAGCCTGTCAGGCACCACTCTGAATGGCTGCCCTGCTCTCCTGCCCTCTTATTTGCTTTACATTTCGGGACCCAGCCCTGTCGCAGTCTCCAGGCCCGCTCCAATACAAACAGGCCCTCCATTTCCATACACTGCCCTTGGTTCAAAGTAACTGATGCTTTCCTTCTGACTTCCCTTGTCGCCTTCCCTCCACCGCCCACCTCTTCTCCCTCTCGCAAGAAGGATCTCGGAAACATATCTAGAGCTGGCAGGCCGAGTGCTTTCCACTTGGAGGAAACGCTGCATTTTTCACCTTTAACCCAGAAAATTTGGTTCTCAGAAAGCTTGTTTTTAGCACTGCAAGTTCCCAAAAGAAGAATAGAGAGTAGGAGGGGCTCCCAGCCCCTCTCACAGCTCTGACAGCCAACCACCTGCCCCAGAAGACTGTTCTTCCCTGGGAGGGAAGCGCCAAGGGGCAGCCTGCAGAGGCCCAGCTGCTGGGGAAAATAAAGGCGGAGAATTCCAGCTCCAAGTGGAAAGACAATTAATCCTTTAGGAGAGGGGCCTGGACACAGCATTAGCTGCATCCCATTCCCTTCCTTGCCTCTTCCAGCTCCGGCCCAGTCCAAGAACACACAGTAGCTGCCCTTGAATATGGAGGTGGCAGTATGGGTGTGCCCTGCAACAGCCCAGACCCTCAGCTGAGAAGGGTGTGTGATTAGCTTATCAAAGGCAGGAAAGACGGGCTCCAGGACTATCACCCTGAAGGAGCCCAGAGGAGACAGAGCTGCCAGCACAGAATCAGAATCCAAAATAAGGGCTGCTTCGGCCCGTTCCCACATAGCTGTTTCCCAAGATGGAGAATGTGGGTCCTTCAACTGCATCCTGACTGGGTATTTCTAGAGCACACACTAAACACAGAAGGGAGATATGAGCTGCCTGCCTCAGCCATTGTGAGGTGATGAGGTACGAGGTCTGAGGGCCTTCGAGCTGGTGGGTCTTGGTGGAAGTGATGGGCTATTAGGAAGTTCCAGTTTGCAGGTGGCTGTATTCAGGCAGTGCAATGACTAATCCAATTCAGCACCATGGTCTGGCTTCTGGGATAGCCCCTGTGAGTAACTGCGCTTCAAGTCACGTTCAAAGAATGCTCACATATTTGATCTTAAAAAAGCCCTCCTTTGATGTCGGCCAGAGAGATGGGCACGGCCCATTTGACTCAAGAAGACAGAAGCTGGCCAGAACGGGGTGACTTCCCCATGCCCCTACCACAAGGACACAACCGTGATGCTTCACTGTGGAACTTTCCTGCCCCTTCAGTCAGAAGTGGTCTGCCCAAGGACCCCAGGATTGTCCAGTGGCATTCTGGGGCTACCTCGGGTTAGCTGTCATTGGCAGCATAGTCTTGTGAGTGAGGGGGATTTGGGCAGAGGCCAGTCCCCTAGTGTCTGCTTGCCAGTTTCTCGTCACAGCTCCAAGTCTGCCCTATTCCAAAGTTCTCCTATTGCAAGGACCCTGGGTTTAACAAATCTGAAAGCAGAAACCAGAGCCACTCCACCGGAGTGGGATTCAGGGCCCCTTAACAGGCAATGAGGTCTGAGTTTGAAGTCTTTTCTCTTCTCTCTTTGCCTTCTCCTTCACAAATAACCTCCAGAACTCAGGGGAGTTGTTGCAAGCTATTTCCAAGCAGCAGTGTGCTCCCCCTGGGCCCCTGCCTAGCCCTGGCCAAGCCCAGAACTGAAGAGCAGGGAGGCAGCAGAGAAAACGTCCTACCTCTCCTCCTTTTCCTGCCTGCTCTTGCTAAGACATCTTTGTCCTAGAAAGTGCATGGCCTCCAGGAGCATTTGTCTTTTCCTGGAAAGACCCGAGAGGAACACTGTGTCTCAGCATTTGGGATGAAGTCGTTGCTTTTCTACTTGTCTTTGTTTCTCCAATTTGCTTAAGATCGAAATGATTCACAGAGGCACAGAAATCTCCAAACATGTGGTATGGCCTTCCCTAAGGTCCCAGCTGCCTACCTCCAAGCAAGAGCCCAGCCTGAGGCTACGGCCTCCTTGGACAGCCCTGTACTAATGGGCTGCAGCTCCAGCTTGGCTAAAAGAGGACTTGGATTGGAATGTCTCTGAGAAGGAAGGCCAGGGAAGCTCAGGGAATTTGCTCATCTACATTCATTTAGAAACAAAAGTAACCGGCACCAGGCCAAGGGATTAGCTGCAGAAAGCCCTGTTAGGAAATTGGCATAAGGAAAGCAGAGGCAGACTAAAGGGACTGTCAGAACAAGAGAGCTGTGGAGGAGACGGGTGTAGGGCTACGAGGCCTGCTGCATGGAGACGTCCTGGCCTGGCTGCAGACATTCCATGTTGTCCCTGAACTTAGGGTTCAAAGGGCAACTGTGGGGAGGGTGGGTATGAAATGGGAGGCATTGTCAAATAGAGCAGGAAAAGTGCCCACTGGTTGTCCAGGCCACATTTCTACAAGCTCAGAAATGAAAGAAGCTGGGTGATCGCCTGGTCCAGCCCCTCAGACAGGGCTGGGAGGTGAAATGATTTGCCCAGTGTTGAGGCCTCATTCACGGTAACATGACTGCCTCTGGCCTGGAAGCCTGAA